AATAAACATAAAGATAAAAATAAAATACTATACAAAGGCTTATGTTCCACGCGACTAAATAACACAATTTCGGAAAGGAAATTCGCTATTGCAAGAACAGAATTTTCTCTCAATCTGCTCCAGATCGCCATCACTTGTTTATAAGCATTTCTGCTCTAAAACCGTTCGTATTTTCAAACCGAACTAAACGCCCAAAACAAGTACTCTACTTAACACGTTGACGACAACACGTATTTTCACTTGTCTGCCCTCTGGGACAGAGCCTTTTTTCAATGACTCGTAATTTTTTGTCTAAAATCACTCAAAATATTATCTACAGTATATCTAGCGCAGCTCTGAGAGGATAACGAGAAACATGGAGGTAATTTCTAAAACCAGCGCGTAACAAAACGATTGGTATGAGTTTGTAACAAAAAAGAAGAGATTTTGACGAAATTCGAGCTATGACCCACCATGTGGGTCACATTGTCCCAAGCGGCAGCCATTGCATGACCCACCATGTGGGTCATGTTGTCGCCAATGTTAATTTTCGGCACTATAAGATAGACGTGACTCAGAAACTTGTCAGTCATTAAAAGTTCAACGCAAGCTCATATCAGACTATTTACGAAGGATAACATGGCATTAATCATTCAATTAGCTAAAAAATGTCTATTTAGGTGTCAGTAAGTGCTTCCGTCATTTGTAATGAAAGAAAAAGGATGGGTACTCATCACTGACTCATTACATTCCAGGGAGTCAAGGCCAAATTATGTATAGAATTAAGCTTCTTTTTCGCTCATTTCAAAAAAGGTTCCTCAGCATTCATTTGCAGTCATTTACCAAATTAAAATGCCAGACATTTATGAAATTAGCATCTCCCAATACTATTTGCTTGTGAGCGTCACCGAGAATTTTAATTTCTCTTGCTGCTATATCTTGCAAAGGAAAATTTTCGTGTAAAGTTTGCATCCCTCAAATCCTGACTTCTCAAGCCTCTTTGCTTCGAACTTATCTCGAATGTTACCTGTCTCTCTTATCTAAGATAAACATCTTCGGTTGCCTTAAGCTTATAATCAATGCCAAGAAGATGATTACCAGGTTGAGTGATTCCGCTGTAAAGACGCTACTCTGCGGTGAATATGCTCATTACATCACTTCTTTGAGTAAGGTAATAAAGTTGATAATTACCAAGCTAATGAATGGTGATTCGTTGTCAAAGTAGGTATTATGTAAAAATCTTTGTTGTGGTCTCATCGAAATCAATTCCTCATCCGTAATAAGTCATTTTGTTTCCGAACCCACTGACATTTTACTGCATAGCTCATTTTTTTGAAGTGATTGCCAGGGTACTCCGTAAAAAAGGTATTGGCATAAGAAGATCTCCTTTTGGTTCTCTTCCCTGCCCATTCTACTGGCTTGGCGACTGCAAGGCGGGGCTTCTTGACCTAATTGGGGCTAGGGTAGAGAGCAGAGAGCACGCGAACGAGAAAGACGCAGACTGCGTCGAGAGCGCGAGCGGATTAAGTTACGAAGTCCCGCCTTCCAGCGGCCAATCCAGTTGAATCAAAGGTTATATTTGTTTTGTAAGCTATGGGTGCAAACAGCGTTCCAAAGTGTTGATGTAACGGACTTCAACACCATTACACATCAAATTATATCACCGTTGAAACCGAAAATAAATGAGAATTCCATCGTTTGCAGTTCTCGTACAGCATAGTGGAATTCTTGTATGATTATGGAATATTCAGATGAGGGTTAAGCAGGATGTATTGAAGATGAAATGGTAACCATAGCAGCATGTATTAGGCTTAGTTTTATATTGGTGGACAAGCTCGTATGATTTTTGATTAGGCTTGATGATGAATGTGTTCTCTCAATATGTGTCAGTTGTTTGTTTACAGTCATCAATTTTTTCTGAAGATACTGGAAATTAATGCATCCCTGCACATCTCGTCTTCGTGATGATTGGAACATAATCGTTTCTTCATACACAAAGTGTTTGGAAAGTGGCCTAAAGTACTATTCAAATTTTGACGCGCTTTTGTTTTGTTGTGCTCAACAGGCCTAGATACCATTAATGTAGCAAAACCTGGTTTTCTTGTGGTCTTTTAGTTTTTTTTAAAAATTAGATTGAAACACATCAATATAGCTTTCCAAACCACTTTCCTTGATACGCTTGTTAAAGAGAAGGAAGCATAATTCACAAAAACCTGGTATACCTTCTAAAAGCCCTTTTTAAAGATTTCTTACATGTGCTTTTAATTTTGTAGAAGTAAATTCGTTTTGAAATACCGCGCCTTGAAATACAAGAGAGCCAGTTTCAAGAATTTTCCAAAGCAGAGCACCGAAAATTTTTTTTATTTTATCTTTAAAACCTTCATAAGCGTGCAAAATTTTTGAAAAATAATATAATGAAAATCAAAGAGCTGCGTTTTGAATACATGTTGAAATAAGACTTCCAAAATTTTTACCGAAAAAGTTTCAACGCGAATTTGTGCCGCGATTGTCTGCAAATTAGCACATAAAAGATTTTTGTTCGCAAGCTGCTGAGGAACTTTTATTATATAAAGAAAGTGTAAACTTAGGACTATTTGTGGTAAGAAAACGAAAAGCTGTCTCCGTTTCTCGGCGTTGAAAAAAGTCTAACAACTCAGATAACGACTCTTCAAAGAAGCTGAAAAATTTGTTTGCATTCAAATTTTTTGAGGTATCTTTCGGCAAAAATATTTTTCTTTGTTAACCCAGTGGTTTTCACGTTCAGCGAACACATATGGCAAAAAATGAGTTGGGATTTGCAGTTGAAGTACTTGAGTCTAGTTCTAATGTAATTCTGCATTGATTCTGACCACTCTATCAACAAAAACAGGCTTTGTCTCTTCTTAACGTAATCAACTAACCACGAACTTTTCAAAACACCCTGTAAGGTTGTCCCATAAGTCTTTTCATTTTTGAGTTTACGCAGTAATAAGTCATACACTTTTTTGTAGACATCAGGACACCATGATAGAGCAAAACAAGCTCTACAGGATAGCGTTTATGCTTTTGCAAGCTGGTCCATCTCGAGTTTTAAACCAAAATCTAAAAACTTTCGGATGCCCAGAAAACTGAAAATTTTTCATATCTTCATTCAAAAAAGTCCTACAGACCTCTCACTTGCCCACGCATGTACACTCCAATCAGACACTTATAGTGTGGACCCTGGCCAGGTTCTCATATGTACCTCCGCAGCGCATACGCAGCGCGCGCACTATTGACGCTTCTCATCCCATATGATCGAAAAATCATTTTTCAGACAAGATAGGAGTGAGACAAGAAGTGGAATCCTCTGTTCTCACCTCGAGAAAAGCTAAAGCAGAAAAAAAACGCGTCCACTTCCACGAACACTTGGTTTCTTGTCATTCTCATGCATACTAGTATAAAACTACCACTGACAGGTGAAAATCGTAGAAATAGCGAAAAGAGGATTACTTTTTGAACGACTCTTCTGCAATGATTGAAAAACTAGAAGCATAAGCTGGAGAGCGTAATTATACAAGCTGAAGCTTCAGTGCCGCATTGAAAAGGAACTAAAAGATTTAGACAAAACAAACTTAATCGGATAGTTCGTTTCTATACAAAACAAATTCGATCGAATAGATACGTTTGATCCGTGATAGAAACCCTAAAGAGAAATCTCTTTAAAATATACTTAATCGTTATTGCGGAGGAAAAAACGAGAGCTTTTGAGGCAGAAGCTCGAGGCAGAAGCTCTCAAGACTTTTGAGGCTCGTAAAAACTTGTCATCATCAGTTGGTGTGATCCGTTTAACCCTGAAAGAAAGAGATTACAGGAAAAACAAAGTTAATAAAGAGAGGAACGCATAGAAACCAATAGGTCCTGGGGCGAAAAGAGCACTGAAGGCATGCGCTGCGTTCGCGGCGCGGAGGTACATATGGGAAGCTGGCCGGGGTCCACACTATATATGTGCCGTTGCTGTATTTTTTATTAGCTAGAAATCAAAAAACGAAAGCTTTCACGTTTTTACCAAAGTGATGATGTGCTGTTCTTAGACTAAAAGTTGTATACTACAAGCCCTTAGAAGTACAGCCGTAAATTTTTAGCTCTCTATGAGTTCTGATTCTCGAGAAATATCGAGTTTAGGCTTCGCTCGGGGTTTCACACTTAACATTTCTCGAAAACCAAGGTCCTACTGTGTCTATACACCTTACTCATTCTCCCGTTATGATGGCATCGAAATTCACCGCACAGAGCTGATTAACACGAATAACTTGTAAACAACTACTCATTCATGTAAGATCGGTAATTTTGCACGAAACTTCTCATAAAAGATTTTATGCAAATTTTGATCGGTTTTTGAATTTTATGGCCTAGTAGTCATCACAAGGAACAACAGTCACCATGAACTACATTTCCTTGCAACGACCTTCCCAAATGCTAAATTGAAACCTTGACAGACCAATCCTTGATCGCCCTAGACTTCTGATCACTTTCTTGGGTTTGCATAGCTTGCACGTTCACTTATCAAACATATCCATGTCTTTTAAAAAAAGTGATGCTACGGATCCAATCTTGCTGGCACATCGGATCCGCTCGTGCGTTATCATGATGGACTTTCACGTTGGTAACATGCGCTATGCAAAATTTGGGCTCAGGACGTTGGCTGGAACATGTTCTACGAATTTTGTAACAGACGGACACACAGACACACAAAAACATGTAAACACCCCTTAGCGCGTCTATGAAATTTTAAAGAATCTCTTCTTTCGCTTTTCCTAGATTGCTTTAACCTGGATCTTCTGTTCCTCTCCCGGCATGCAAAATCTTATAAGAATGTATACATTTGAATGCGTCCATGTGTAACTAAGAACTTATTATACTTGTCGAAGGCTGAACGTCACTCCGCTGTGGACGTCAATGAAGCTATTCATTAAACGGTTTTGTATGTAAAGTTATGCACGTTTTCGAAGTTTCTTTTTGTAACTCCAATATTCTATGCAAGACTTGTTTCAGTATGTCCTATGTTTGAAAACGGTGGCTCTCCGGTGTTCGTCTTCGTGCCATTCATAGCATTCTCAGTGATATTCCTGCTGATCATTTTGCTCAAATCATGTGTTGTGATGAGGTTTGTTTACTTCTTAGGCTTTGGCCATACTTTGCCCGTGTTGCCGGTGTTGAAAGTGTTGCCGGTGTTGAAAGTGTTGCCGGTGTTGAAAGTGTTGAACGGAGATCATCAGTCTAGCAGTTTCATTCTTTCTCGAACGATCTCATCGGTCGGTGAATACGTTGGCAATGGAATTGGGGAATGAGAAATGAAACTGAAATGAGATTGGGAATGTTTTCGCATGCAAAAGATCTTCAAACAATTTTTTTGAAAAGTGGACGGCTTGTCTGGAATAGGCAATCTCCATTATTTGCAAGCGCTGCGGGTGTATGCCCTTCTGAACCTCTTCGTCCTAGCGCTAATTACTCTGCCCGGGCGGCGTTAATTACTCCGTCTTTCTTGTAATCTATCAGAGTTTTCAGATGTATCTGAGCATTCCAAAGCAAGCGAGGCTCACGAATAATGATACTGACGATGTTTGAATAATGAAGACAAAAGTTGGAAAAGCTGCATGTTTTTTTACTAGCCTTTCATGATTTCTTCGCCTTCTCACTTTTCAAAACACCATGAAGTCTGCACGTGTAAGCTGAAGAATTTAATTGAGCAGCCCACGCATAACATTTTTGAGTTTCATGGGAAATCGAAGTCTTGTTTGATTCTTTTTATCATGAGAATGCCCTTCCAATTCGGACGTCTCTCAACAGCGTAGCTCTCGCCTACCCAAGCGCCGCAGCGTCGACTAATCAGAGGCGCGCAGTAATTAGGCTGCCAATGCTAGCGGTTCAGAAGGGCCGTCTCCCCTCAGACGTCAGCTTTCTCAAATATTGGAGATTGTCTATTCCAGACAAGCCGTCCACTTTCCAAAAAGTTTGTTTGAGGATCTTTTGCATGCGAAAATCTTCCCCATCTTATTTCAATTTCATTTCTCATTCCCCAATTCCATTTCCAACGTATTCACCAACCGGTGAGATCGTTCGAGAAAGAATGAAACTGCTAGACTGATGATCTCCATTCAACACTTTCAACACCGGCAACACTTTCAACACTTTCAACACCAGCAACACGAGCAAAGTATGGTCAAAGCCTTATCGTACTTATCATACTCATACTGGCTATGTTATATTTCCTCGTAAAAATGAAAACGAGTTGAATCTGAAGCAGTCATAGGCAAAAACGGTAAGGATTTGTAAAGAGCCTTTCCTAGCTTTTTCTTGGCATAGACAGGATGTCTGGGTAGGGCTGAACATCTATTTACGGATAGGTAACAATATATTGTTCGTCCTTATCAATACTAGATGCCAGTTCAAAACCACGCGCCCCAGCGCTAGGTTATTCTCTTGCAATTGCGCCAATGCGAGTAAGGAACGTACAGGTCCCGTTACGACTTGCCGTTAGCAGTTCGCAGAAGTGACTCAAATTAAGGGATGCGGATGCACCATGACAACGCTGGGTTCAACTGATAAAGGAAGCATGATTAGTCGAAGTGACCTTTCCAAATATTCACCTACAATACCGCTCACATTTTTTGAATAAAAAAAAGACGCGAATGTCGCATCATGTATGAACATCACCGTAGCGTGGCCATATCTCGCTTCAGAGTGGACGAATTCTGCATCTGAAGCAAGCATTCGACTCAGCTCGGCGCGGCGCATCTTCTGATATACAGAAGTGTCCACTTGGACACGGTAGGAGGTCAGATTTCACGAATCATTTCAGATTGCTTGGTAGGTTGAGTGCAATGAATAAGCACAGTGGGTAACCTACCGTAAGCCAGAATTCGAAACGATTCGTGGAATCTGGCCTCCTAATGTGTCCAAGCAGGCATCTCTATACATCAGAAGATTCTTCGCGCCAAGCTGAATCGAATAATGGCTTTGGATTCAGAATTCGTCCACTCTGAAGCGAGATATGGCCACGCGACGGTGATGTTCATACATGGCGCGACATTCACTTTCTTTTCAAAAAATGTGAGCGGTATTGTATTAGGTTGAACCGAAAGTTCTGTCGCACCATTTTCAAAAAATCATAACTTCTTGCGGTCACAACGATTCTGCGCGATTCAAATTTTGTCTGAAAGCGCAAAGTATATAGTTTCCAAGTGCTCTCTGTGAAGTTTCCGACATGCTCAGGTTGCAGAGATAAAAATGAAAGAACGAGACCATCCGAAATTCGGAATTTTTAAGCAAGAATTCTAGAAATTCAGAAACAATGCGATAAAATCCAGAAAAGCCGTTATCCTAATTTTTCTTACATTTGATTACTATCTGAGTTAAGTTTGTGCTGATCGAGGTCTGCTTCCAGAAGTTATGAATTTTTGAAAAAAAATGCCAAAAAATCCATTTCTTAAGAATTCTTAGGAAATTGATTTTTCGGCATCATTTTTCAAAAAATCATAACTTCTGGAAGAAGACCTCGATCAGCACAAACTTAACTCAGATAGTAATCAAATGTAAGAAGAATTAGGATAATGGCTTTTCTGGATTTTATCGCACTGTTTCTGAATTTCTAGAATTCTTGCTCAAAAATTCCGAATTTCGGATGGTCTCGTTCTTTCATTTTTACCTCTGCAACCTGAGCATGCCGGAAACTTCACAGGGAGCATTTGGAAACTAGATGCTTTACGCTTTCAGACAAAATTTGAACCGCGCATAATCGTCGTGACCGCAAGAATTTATGATTTTTTGAAAATGGTGCGACAGAATTTTTGGTTCAACCTAATATATCGAGCGTAGAGCACTGAACGATGTGTAGAGCATTGAACGGTGATTCTAAATTCGTCTTCCCTATCTGCCAAGCGCCTCCGAAAACCGAGTTATGAGCGATTTTATATCGAAAAATTGAATGTGCGAGTGAGACATCGTCCAGAATTGCACAATTGGTAATTAAAGCACTTTTTCGATGAATACCTTCTACAGGGTGTCCCAAAAGTATGTATACACTGTTTGATCGTTGATTTTTCGCTTCCTCAAAATTTTTTTACCTACCTTCCGTAACCATTTCAAAGAGCTGGCTTCAACTTAGATTCACATTATTGAGCGAATCACTGATCTTTCTTCATTACTGTAGGATTACGGTAGGAACATCAAGAAGGATTTGGAGCTATTGAGGGCTTTATTTGGCCTCGGAAAGCAAACCAAACAATTTGAAAATCCTTGAACTAGCTTAACTAGATTCGCTAAAACCAGAAATGAACATTGCATTCTGTCGCAATACTTCCTGCACAACTTATGCCTGGTAAACCACGATAGCTGTCTTAACAATGCTCCCTGACCTGTGGTTACACAATTCGAAAAATTCTACAAACTTCTATAAAGGTAAGTAATATAATCAGCCCGTGCAAACTTCCTGATACACCACTTTCCGGAATTTTTAGAATTTTTTTAAAACACGGCTAATCCTATGACGCTGTAAGCCAAAAGTTTCTACTATCTTACAGTATTGAAAAGCGATTGGTGGTTGTTGCATACTGCAAATCGAAGTTGAAGCCAGATCTACAAAATGGTTCCAGAAGGTATGCAAAAGACTTTTTGGGAAGAGAGATATTAACAATCAAACAGTGTATACATACTTTTGGGACACCCTGTATTTGATAATATTTAATACTAGCTGGCTTACCCGGCTCCGCCGTATGTTCCGAATAGAAAATTCCATTTCTCAACCGATCCGGACCAAACTTGGCACACATACACTTCGGGCCCCGGCGGGTCAAACTTGGTTATGTAGCGTAGAGAATGTTTGATAAGAATCATATTTCAATTCGCAGAAGTTTCAGCTTTCGTGTATTCGCTGCAGTTGCGTGTTTCATGACTTTGCCAGAAATCGAGACTTCTGAAGAAATAATGTTTTTGAAGCTAGAAACAGCAAATTGAGAGAATCTAAAATATTACCCTGTATTCCAGGAATTGCTCTGTTTGATCCATACTTAGTCCCTTCCGAAAATTTGGAATGAAATTCAAAAAAGTAGCCTGACTTTGAGCCGATAAAATTGACGGATGGAGAATTTTGGCAATTATCAAATAAAGCATACAAGATTGTGGTTCGAAAATGTATTTTAAAAAAAAGAAGAAAAAGCTGCATCGAATGCTGAAACTCACTCAGGTCTGCGTGGTTTTGTACTAATTTGAAAAAACGGACAAAACTTTCTGGGCAACAGCAGAGGTTCATTGCTTCTATTCTATTACTGTAAGCCTTCCTCGTGCTCCTCCAGTGCTAGTCTTGGAACTCACGCAATGCTGATCATTACAATTAAATTACAAAGAACCACCTGATCTAAAATGTTTTCCTTGTTAAACCTTCAGCTTTGGGAAAAAGTTCTGTGTAGCTTCGGGAGAAACTTCTGTGAGGAAAAATAAATGCAAACTTGGAACGATTACTAAGGCTTAGTAGCCATTTTAAAAGACCATGAACACCTCGAACTACATGTTTGGGTGAAGTTCTTCTGTTTTCTAAGTGGAACCCTAGCCAACGACAATAACACAGTCATCCTACCGCTTGCTACACATATAATTATCAGCTACAAAGATCAAATATAGCAATTAATTTTTGCAGAAAACCGCAACAATGAAAAACCCAGCATTGTTTGAGGTGTTAGATTATTCGAATTATTCGAATAGTCGAATATTCGACTCTATATAATTATTTGATTATTCGAATAGTCGAATGTTCGACCAACCCCATTTATTCGAATATTCGTTCATTCGAATTTTGAAATGTAGCATTATTCGAATATTTGAATTCGAATAATCTGAAAATTACAGATCGAATAACATTCGTTCGTTCGAATTTTTTTCAAAAGCCGATTATTCGAAATTCATTCGTTCGACGAAATTTTTCGGTGGTTCTAACTATAGTACAGACATACAGACAGACAGACAGACAGACAGACAGACATACAGACAGACAAACAGACATTCAGCTTTATATATGAGGTGAGGTGGTGCATCGTTTACGATGTATTTGATAAATAAATAAATAAATAAATAAATATATAAGATTTCTTCACACTCAGCACTGCTCTAGTTGAGAAAAAATTGTAATGCGTTCATTTCTTGCTCCAAAAAACACTCATAATTCGGTGTCTAGAAAGCTTGCCAAATAGTAAAAGCATATTTGGAATCAGCGTTCAATGCTCTTTTAACTGGTATAAGACTCAATTAGAAAGGCCTTCGACTAAACACGCTTCCCTTGTGAGCAGGGGCAAGCAGTAACTCTGAACCTCCCTTTAGAATTTTTGACGACTCCTTTTTTGAGCGTCAGCGAGCCTGCGGGCAGAGACACCGCTCTAGTCATAGAGTAAGCGGGTGGCAGATCATACGTGCTGTGCTTAGTCTACATTTAAATGAGAAGGCTGTCACTCATCTCAGGCCTACCGCAGTAGGGATGAGTTAGAAGCTCTATTCGAATGCAAAGTTTCTTGACACGGAAATGCTTCAACGTTTTTCTTGAAACTTAAGCTAGCAACTCAAATTCCAGTCGTACTGACATGCAACGCGGCTGGGCAACGCAACCGCGAAGGTCACGACGCACAACACATTCACATTCAACGGCTTCCGTCGAAATTCAAACCAGTCAACAACCTGTTCCATTTATTCCTCCTCCAGGTATGGTGATACAATGACGATCATTTACGATCACGGGCCAAGTCGTGGCTCTATATGTGAAACGGTTTCTGATGGCATAAGCTAATATACATCAAAATCGAGATCCAGCGATCCTAAAGCGTTATGGATGTTTGCAGTGCGTCAGTTCTTGAAAGCGTAGGCCGAGTTCGTAGAATTACTTTTTGTTACTTGTTTCACAGAATGGTTTACTAGTAATCTTGAGCCTTTTTTGTTGAGCAAGGAATTACCAGCTATTCGTAATTAAATGGAATCCGTGCCAATTACTAACTGTTTTTATTACAGGATACTATTCCGAAGTCATGTCAACGGACTCTTCCGCTATGTATCCAATGTACGTACCGCCGTATGCAATGACTAGCACACCACCTTTATCCATGCGGGATCCGCGGCGATTCCAGGTCCTTGTGATGCAATCACCTGCAATTATCTGGTTTTTTTATCAACTCCATGTTTCAGGGCATACCCGGGTTGCAAGCACCCCCTCCATATCCGCCACCACCCAGTTATAGCCAAATTCAAAACTTTCCTGAATTGCCAACAGTAAGCAATGCTCGATTGGACAATCGCACTCCTTCAAGAAGCGGGAAGAAGTCTGAAATTACCCCAGTAGAATAAGTAAGACTACAATGTTAGCAGATTTTGCTCATAATTATGCATAAGAGTTTGACACCGTGCATCGACGAACTTTCCCGAGTGTTTTTGAAGCATTTGTAGCGCTTTACGATCTCCTCTTACGAATAGTTTTGCTTGTCATCTCTGCTACTCGTACATTTCGGACGGAGCAAGAATTGTCAGTCCTTTATTGGCTAATGGGACACTTTTTTTCATGTAAGATTACGTAACGAACTGTCTCATCAGAATGAAAACTCAGAGATTATCACATTAGAAAATGTCCATATCTTAAAGTTCCAAATTTTTTGCTATTGCTTTTTGGTCGGCGTTTGAAGGAAGGCTACCTTGGCTTCGATCTTAAATCTAAACAATCTGAAACAAACGAAAGCTTAGCCAATGAAGGAATGCAACGATTGCTTCGTGCAATTTAGAGCACTTATCTAGTGATTTAAGGAAAAAACATGTGAAAAATATGCGCACTATGGTTACGGGTCATACAAGTTACCTTGATTTTTGGATATCTTTGCTTCTTGTAATATTTGTTTCATGCTGTAATATCTTTCTTTCATTATTTCCAAAGTCTTTTCAAGGCTCTAAGCTTTTCTTAGGCATCATTTCTAGTCAGTGCAGCTGCATATTTTGGAATGTCATTGTAATTTCTCCATTAATTTGCTTCTATGTTGTGTGCCAAGTTTTGTTGCTGTCTACTTCACATGTAAGCCAAACTACATTGTTGGTACTAGAGTACGGGTCTGAATAAAAATTTGTTTTATGGATAATTGGTATTTAATTATCTAATGTCCAAACACTCTAATCACGAAGCGTGCTGATTATGGTGCGACAGTATACAGAAAATACGTGCGTTAAAGTAAGTTCATGACCGACTTATCCTTCTGGCGTTTGCAACAATCTCAAAAATCAGACTAGAATAGAAGGATTTCTACTAAACAATCATGTCTCACGCGTGTCCAACGTGAACATCTATTAGGGATAATATATAATTCTGTTACACTTTTTTCTAATTTTTCTAGGAAATTCCAAAACTTTCCCAAACTTCCCCCGATTGCGACACGTTTAGGACATAGCAGAGTCTACCCATCAGCATGATTGATGCCTTTAGTGCACTAATTACCAACAGATTTACGATAGCTTTGCAAATCCCTCAAATTTTCAACTTTTGTATGATTTTTTTTTCTGCACCTAACTTTTTCAAAACGTATTTTGGCATTGTCCCTTATATGAAGGCATTCCGGTGTCTTTAGCGTTTCAAAAACGCGAAGTGAAAAAAATAACAAAAAATTTAAAAAGTCTCCTAATTTCTTGTTTTCATATGCAGCGTGTAGAAATGGATACAGAAAATTCAAAAATGATTTTTTGAAATTTTTTGAAAACGTTTTCTCCGTTGGAATGTCGATGATTGCAACGATGGCGCACACTGACATTTGAACCGCTCAAAAAACATGCAGACATGTCTGCGATATCCCCCCATATTTGCTCGCCACAGACTATGCCTTTTCTGAATACCACATTGTATGCTCTTTCGCTCATCACCTGAAAGAATGCCAGCCCATTTACAAAGGTTAAAACGGATTTTCAGTGACACAGTGGGCAGGGCCCGGCAGAAGGTGGCATTTCAGAATTTTGAAAACGATATCCCCTTTGAAGCCAAAATTTCTTACGACTTCCCCTTTGACCCTATTTTTGACCCCCGTAAGTCCCTGACAAACAGATATACACAAATAATAAGATGGGCGGCCTCAGCGCTTATTATAGTAGTACTACCTGGCTTTCCTGGTCCAGCCCGGGTCTTCATTTGAGGGGATGGCCAAAAACCACACTTTGTCCTACTACCTTCCCGTCCTTTTGGGCCATAATCTCCACCCCTTTTCTGCAGTATCAATACTGCACAGCAGCCCTCCCCCTTACCCTCCTGCACGAGCTTACCCCAGAAAGGCTTATTGGAGTGACTGCACCTTCTAATTTTGAAGTGGAAATAAACTTCACTGCATTGTTCACACCAAAATGTGCAAGCAATTTGTTAGCGGCTGGTAAGTGTTCACTTTCCTTGCAAGGTGCCAAAAATCATTAAATCGATAGAAGAATTCCACGAATTGCTTCGAAGGGTAGCTTAAGACCATCTACCGAGGCGAAAACATATGTTTTCAAGGTTTCAGCTCAATGGGTTCATCCGCAAAGGAATCTATAAAAAAAACATAGGGTCATGATTTGCACAAACTTTGACGTTTATATATCTAAAATACTACTAATTTATTAGTCAGCTGCGAAACTTTACAATTTACAATAACTGATTGCGACTGGAGCGCGCTTTCCGAGGCCGATCATAACGCTGTGAACCCTATTTGGGGCTGTATCGAAGCGGTGCCTTGGTGGTTTTGGAAGCGGATTTGAACATATAGTAATACTCTCGACCTAGTCCACATTTATGTAAAGAAATCCGGAAAATTATGTGAAGGGAAGCAGAGAGCCACCCCAGGTGGCTCCTAGGTGGCGCGGGAGCCACCTAATTTCGCAAAACACTTACCATTTTTTGAATTCACATAAGTTTCTCATAATTCTTCATACTTTTTTTGTGCTCATGGTCCTCCAACTATACAGCAAATTTGGTGCACTATCTTACTTGTGCATTGAAAACGAGCCTATTTTGTTATTTTCCTCTCACAAGAATTGCGATTTGAATTCCCGCCTGCGGGCAGGCTAGCGATCGGAGCACAGAATCTTCACATTGCTGAATCTAAGTTCATAGGACAGTAGCATCAACAAGGAATGATGAATAAAGAATGATATGTGCATTGTTTATGGTAAACAAAGGGGAAGTCGTATTTTGGGTTTCGGGCTAAAAACGATATCCAGCTTGTGAAAGCGCCACCCCCGCCGGGCCCTGACAGTGGGTGTTTCGTGCAGAGATCGCGGATGCGACGAATAGGCCCTTTCTCAGACAATCGTCGGGGGCAGGCGGGCACCGGAAAAATAGATTGCTGATCTCTCGCACCCCGCTCGCGGATTTTTTGGAAAGCAATCAGGACTTTTTGGAAGACCGCTTGCTGAGTTCTCGATTCCTCAGAGATTCAGCAATATATCTGCAAAAGATAAGAGCGAAAAAAATTCAACAGGCGGTCTCTCAAAAGCCGCTGACTCAGCAAGCGGTCTTCCGAAAAGTCCTGATTGCATTGCAAAAAATCCGCGAGCGGGGTGCGAGAAATCAGCAATCTATTTTTCTGGTGCCCGCCTGCCCCCAGCGATTGTCTGAGTTGACCCTGCCCATATGTCGTAAACATGAGATCTTTCCAAAGCTTCTGAGGTTTTTTAAGAATCAAAGTATAAAGTCACCAGAAATTATCCGACAACCTAATACTTTGAATCTATCATACGCAAAGTCGAAGATTTCTGAATGCATTTGCTGTGCTTGTAAAGTTGTACTTTGTAGATGCTGAATGATCGTTCCAACTTGCATAGTATTGCTAACTCTTGCCTACTCTATTCCCTACATGAAATTTCATTCGAATCGACTACGACCTATAGTCCGATAACAGGCTGTTTGTTCTGACAGAACTCTTACATGAGATTTGATAAAAATAATCGTTTTCGAAGAGACAATCAAAGAGCTGCTCATTTTCGTTCAGTTACTTCAGAGTCCGGCTAGTTTGTTCAGTGATTTTTTCTAGAAGCATGGCTACTGTCTGGTCAGTGCTAAAACTAATGCTGATACTAATTAAAGTGTTTTTGAGGTTTGAAATATAATGTGCAATTTGCACGACAAACAGCAGTGCCTAATTCTGTTACTTATTAGGCGGTTGCCATTACAGCTTTGGCGCTTGTCTCATCGTGTCGCATAAGGGGAGGCATTTGTCCTTCCAAACGACATGTTTATCACGCGAGAGGTTCACAGGTCCCAGAACAGTGATCATAATATTGCCATTATCCGCTGAACACTTTACTGGTTTGGACAAGTCGAAAGCATTTTTTTCGGGTGTTGGACGTTTCACACGGCCGTAATGTTTTCTATACGCGCGACACATCCTACAGCCTCTTTGAAGGCAGCGTCAATGCAAATTTGAGCGCATGCGTTTTCTGCGTGGTAACTGGCGAGGGGTCCTAACAAGACAGGCCCAAGTTGCAGCTCAAATGATTCATTCACGGCTGAAACCAACTTCAAAGCTTCCAATCTTGCGCCGTGACCGTAACTCGCGAATGATTAGGGATCGGTCCCAGCGCGAACGCAGTGCTGATCGGAGCAGCGCTTGCGGATCTTGGAGATGTTTCACTCAACGTAAATGGATGACTTGGGCTATCGCTAGGCAGCGTCTTAGTTAGGACCCTCTCACTAATACGCAAAACCTATGTGCCCAATTTTGCCTGGACACTGTCTTTGAGCAAAGCGTACAAGAAGGGCAGTTTTGCCGCGTACGGAGGTGTTGGAACAAATCATCAGGGTGGCCCTGGAGGCTGACCGTGCGGAAAAATTTCCAATTTTTCCCGCCTTCAGATTGCATGGTTTTTGATTTTCCTTCTCCTTTACTTGCACTTAGTGGTCGTCGATTACTGCTTGAAAATTTTTGTGTAAGATTACGATGAGGAATTTTAGAACCTAATTCCATTATCTGGGTGTATTTTAGAAAAGTAGGACCTGACGTTCATAGCGGGGCCTTCGCACCTTGTGACCCCAGAATAAGAACAGATTAGAGCTGTCTGAGGTATGATCTAGAGGAGCACAGAAAAGTACCTACTTTTATGTACGCAAGTTGTAAGGCATTTTTCACGCAGGAAACGGGTAAAAGAGGAAAGACAGACTTCTTAGTTCGCCTTCAAGTCATGTAAGTGTAGAGCTTGGTACCCCTTTTACTTAATGTGAACCGAGGTGCAGATTCAGAAACTTTCAATGATGGATCAATAGTATTAGGTTGTCCCATAAGTCTTTTCATATTCGTACATTCAAAATGATATCTCTCTAGAACTAACAAGAGAAGTGTCAGAACTCGCAGTGGCCTTTTGACATGAAATGGGTATCATCTGAAGCAGCTTGAAATGCTGATTCCAAAACAGCCTTTCTTAGCTGCAGAACTAATCTAGGACGAGAGTTATTGAATTTAATTTGCGGGAAATTTACAACGCTGAGAATAGCCAAAAATTAGAGCAAACATTTTTTTGGGCTCAAACATAGATGAAACAGTCCATCAATGCTTAACGTAATTCTACGCCTTCATCAAAGTTATGCTTTGGTGCTTAAACAAGCATTTGAAAGGTTTCCGTGATCACAGAGTACTTCAAACAATGTAAAATTTAATGTTTAAAATGCCCATAACTCGCGACCCAGATCAGTTCTGCAGCTAAGAAAGTTTGTTTTGGAATCAGCATTTTAAGCTGCTTAAGATGGTACCCATCCCATGTCAAAAGGCCACTGCGACTACTGACACTTCCCCTGTAAGGCATCTACAAAGGTACAAATTTGTGGGAGTATTCTTGACTGAATAAGCTTTATAATTATATATTTGCGAGGAGCGTAAACCCACTACAGGCAAAGTTTGAAAATTGAGCGCACTACTTTTTTCTCGATTTCTAGACATCGGAAAAATGCCGAAAGTGCATATATAAATACCTGATGGGGAGTTTACATGCGTGAGCAAGTGGGAACTTTGCAGGGTATTTTTGAACTGAGATATGATTATTTTCGTTTTTTCAGGATTCTGGATTTTTTTCCATTTTGTCTTGAAACTCGATGAAGATCAAGCCTAGTACGAGCTTTTAAAAGCCACATTGTAGAGTTTGCTTTGATCTTTCAACCACATTACAAATCTGAAGAGAGCAGACTTATGCCGGTGAAAAGTCAGATATGAAAAGACTTATGGGACAACCTAATATTAGTAACTTACAAAGAACAATAGAGTTGTTTTCGTAAAATTTCAAATCAATGAGCAAAGCAAAATCCAAAGATTTTTAAAACCAGACTATTTGATTAAATGAAGCTTAAGATCCTTCAAAAGCATTCACAAGTACATAGAGCACAGAATAACTGGTGAATATTGTATGAAATGGACTATTAGGCACTTGTGTTCTATATGAGGAACTACAAATAAAAATCCTCCCTAAAGATTGCTCTCCATTATCAGCGAACAATAACGAGAAAAACGCTTCAAGGCACGTTTAGGTCAATCATTATCCGTTGTCGTGCTTCGACCACACATGAAACAGAACTTATGCGGTAACAACGCTGATCAAGAAAAACAAGCAAGAAATTTTTACTTAAAACCCAAAAAGAAAGCGCGTTGAGGGAGCAGAAGCGTGCGCGTGCGCGTTGCGTACCTATGAGAAGCTGGCCGGGCACCCACTATACCATTAACTACCGCGACGAAACCAGAAAGGGAGCACACAGCATGCGCTGCGCCGCGGTAATACCGATGGGAAGTTGGCCGGGGCACACGCTATACTACATTCGCGCTTGATCTAGAGCATTTTTTGAACTATCAGATCGTTCCGTAAGTTCGTAGCGTTTTCATTTCTGTCGTCGTTTTCTGAAGAAGCGGTTAGTTAACGGCAAAGTATCTGTATATCCGAAAAAGCGGATTCTGCTCTACAAGACCTGTGTTCTATTTTCGAAGTAAACCTAATAACCTCCGTTTTGTAACTGCTGAAAGCAAAGTATTTTGTGCACTAAAAAATGGCGTTTTCGCCATCTGCATCTTTGGTCCCATATACGGAAATCACAAAAGGGGATTTTCCATTTGAAATTGTTATGAGTGATGAGGAACGACTGCTTACCGGACTATGACGCACATAAAAGTAAAATTCTAGTCAAGGAAGACATGTGCAAAAGGATAGAGCGCACATTTGCCGCATGTGTAGATGTTTTGCGTTTGGCGGGCATGAAGGAGTTTTCTAAGCCAAAATTTTTTGGAAAAGCGTAAAATCGCTGGTCAGCACTTGCCTTCAAACTTTTGCGCACTTGGACAAAGCCGTTCATCGCTCAAGGCCTGACAGCAGGACTCACATCCACGAAAGTCCATAATGGAGGAAAATGGACTTACTTAGTCCATTTTATTCGTTCGCGTTAGAAAGTGGTCGAAATCGGCTCCCGCTTACGATATCCAAAATTTTTCATCCCATCGCAACCGCGAGGCAAAGCGGTGAAATGAAAATAATTCAAGCTTACTTGAGCTATCGCTCGCGGAAGATGACGTCAAAAGTCCATTTTAGAATGGGGCAAAAGGAGTTCACCTCCATGTTCATTCTCTCTCACCTTTCTGATAAGCCCATTTTACTCCCAGCAGCCAGATGTGCTGGGACTAAGCCCATTTTTGACATTCTTGTATATTTTTGATTGCGATTTTTTGAGAATATGTTCCCTAGCCCATTTTAAGATAGTAAGCGAACGGAGAAAGTTTTATCTTCTTTAGGAGGGCCAAAAAACTGTCTTCTCCAAACAGCCTTGAAATGCTTTGAAAATCATAGAAAATCTTTTTTCGTAGACAATTGAGACAGACAGACAGACAGACACAAAGACTGCAATTTAAAATTCGCGATTTTGAGTTTGGTAGCAAGAAGTAGTGAAGTACCGCTAGCAAGTCAGAATATTCTGTGAAAAATTTCTTACTAGCTATAGTCTATACATTAGTCACTTCTTGTTCTCGTATGGAAATATAAAAAAAATCGCGATTTACCAAAATTAAACAAGTCATTTTATAGAGAAAATCTTCTCGATACGTCATTTTGTTACCGAAAACACTTTTCAATACCCAAAACGTCGAAGCGAACTCTGCTTTATTTCCGAATATAGAGCATCACATTAGGGTTGAGAAAAAGAGGTTACCTGATTGATACTGGATCATGCGAGAGCTTTTCCAACAACCGGTTAATTTGAATTCTGTTCAAAATCTATAATAAGGTTGCCAATAGCAAAAGGCATTGGTTCAAGCATTCCCTATATGCTGAGAAGGATATAAGTCCGCTTTGCTTCAGTTGTTCGTAGCACTTTCCCTAAGCAACTTTGATCATCAAAAGCACATATGACTTGGGATTAGAGTATATGCCTAGATAAGTTCTAAACGTAAAACTGAATTCAGTGACTTTGTCATCATTCTAATATCCACCCCTCAAACTCACACAGTTCATGCAAGAAAAACAGCTTCATATATCGAACGCCATATTTGCATGAAAGTTTTGGGGTTGCTAAAGTACAGCATGAGAAGCCATCAATTTTTATGCAGATCCAAAGTTTTTCCAGCTTAAAAGCTTTTGTGTAGTGTAGTACAAGGTTTTCTTTGAGATAAGCATTTTGATTCACAAATTGCAATGCAAGTCTAGCCAAAGTTTGCTTTCTGCTGGAAACTCCACATACGAATTTGATTCAATGCAGATTCATAGAAGTTTTGAAGAGCGAATGCCCTGATATTACTCGGATTTTAGATGGACTGAAACTAATTTAGATGCATAGTCATAGTTAATAAATGGCATTCTATGAGTTGTAATGAAATGGAAAAGAACGGAGTATCCACGTGACTGATATAGTAAAGTTAGACTTGATACATACCTTGCTGCCGAGCAGCGAAGGCAGCGCTGCCCCGGCTGATCAGCGCTGCGCTCGGCTGCTTCTTGAGTGCATGTTGAGTGCAGAGTGTCAAAAATAATTGCGCTATGTCGAGTTTTAATATGTCAAAAAGAAGAGAATTAGCATATTTTAAGTTGGATCTGGTCCACACTTTTATGAGGAGTTCTTCATTTTTCATTTTTTATCATTACATTCACACTAAAAAGGTAGCTCATACGAGCAAACTCAAAAGAGCAATTCAAGTGTATTCAGTCCATTCGACCCCTGATAAGACAATGGCTGTCCCAGTAGTATGAAATTGTCCCTCAGGCAATGACATGGTTGGAGTCCATTGGAGGCCAAACTTTATCTGATTAAGCTGTCAGCTTTTTAAATTATTGCCAATGTGTAGTCAGTATCAATTACTTCATTTCTCTTCAAGTTTATAAAGTATGTCCTTCCAGTGCGTCTCAATAATTCCCATATCCTCTGAAATCCTAATTAAACGGTATTAGGTTGCATTCATGACTTGCTCAAGCAATATAAAGACGGATTCTATATTCAGAACGCTAGTTACAGCTTGAAAATTGCTAAAAATAGGTAATTTCGAGCCAAAACAGTTGTTTGCAGCCCACAGTATCTGAGATACCTCAGAAAAAGTGAGCGTAACTCAGCTGCAAATCTCGTTGCAGCGCTGATCAGAAACGACTCGCTAGGTGTGGACATGACCTTCCGTGTTAGCTGCTGCAGCGGGAGGCAGCAGCGTCACTCCGCTGCAATCAATACGCACAAGTCGCAGTGCTGCCACCGCTACGTATAGACACCCGACGCTAAGTATGTATCAAGCCTTAGATCAGTCTGGATATCGACCATTTGGTGGGAATGAGTTTGCAAGAGTGAGTAAACAGGTTGAGGCAAGTTGAAGAAAGGTTTGCTGAAGCATTTTTGTATGGAATGAATGGATTCGCGAACGCGATATCTTATCGCCCGCAGGGACTAAGCCCATTTTATTCGCGTTTCATTCGCGAAAAGCCCATTTTCAAATGGACTTTCGTGGATATCATTTCAGCAGGACGGGAACATCCTGCTGCGAAACAACGCGTGAAACACAAGCTGCCGCAGTCGAAAACGGCAACTATTGAGACCTCGTTCAAACAGTTCTTACAAGGGAAGGATACCAACATTAGTCGGCGATTGAAGATGAGATGTATATCAGAAGACGCGCCTTTGAACGCTGATTCCAAATCTGCTTTCCTTTTCTGCGGAATAAAGTTTTCGAAAGAAGTTGTTGGCGTTCAAATGTCCAAATTTGTCAAGATTTAAGTGACCAAAAATTGGCGAAAAGCCGTACAAAAACACCGGAAAGTGGAAAATCATTTTTGTATTGAGTATATTGTTTGCAAGGAAGGAACAAAGCCGGTGGAAATCGCATAGGTGTTGATTCTAGAGCTTTTCGCTAATTTCAAGCCACTCAGTGCTTGGCAAATCTAGACATTCAAACGCTTTCAACATTCATTCATAACTTCTTTCGGAAACTTATTCCGCAGAAAAGGAAAGCAGATTTGGAATCAGCGTTCAAAGGCGCATCTAATGATATACACATCTTCAATTGCCAACTAATGTTGGTATCCTTCCCTTGTTAGTATATTGGCTGGACACCACTGTGTCAGCACATCACCTTCCTTGCTACTAGCTACTCCGACTATCCATGCAGGGAATTATTTGTGAGATATGGACGAAAGCGAAAAGTACAGGTGCGAAATCGCCATTTTCTGCCACTCAAAAAACTTTGCTTTGAGACTTTATAAACCAAAATCTTAGTATTGCTTCGAAATAAAAAGCAGGTTTTGTAGAGCAAATTTGACTCTCTCAAATAGACCAGTTACTTTGCCGTAAACCAACGGCTTCACCAGAAAAGACGACAAAAATTAAAACGTTACGAACTTTTGGAGCGACCTAGTATAAAATGATGAACATCGAGGCAAGCAAACTGCTAACACTGGCAGCGTAGTACTGGAAGGCACTACCGCGAGTATTCTTGAATTTTTGAGAATTGCTTCCGACACATGAGAGGAGAGAGAAAGGAAAGTAGAGAAAGAGAGGAAAAAAAGGAGGTAAGAGTTGGATAGAAATCACACTGATTATGCTGCCACATACATTACCAGAGCCGTGTAATAGCCTACCACCAAGTGGAATTCGTGACGATCATGTGCATGAATTTTTGTATACTTCGGGGTTTTTTATAGAAGGCAATAGACTTGTTCTCTACTTGCTACAACGCGATTTTGCAATGTTCAAACAATTTGAGTGACAGTGACCGAGTTCGGGGAATAGAAACATGGCATTATTTTTTCAGCATACCTAGATCAGAAATCAACCAAATATAGCTCTTAACACTGAAAACCTTGCTGAGTCTTGTTCGTAGAGCGTACTAATTTTCAAAGCAAGGTCTCAACAAATCCACGACCATATCCCGGGTGTTTCGTGACCTTGGCGTTGTAGCATTAGTCCGAAATTGCAGAAGTCGGAAAAGCCTGGTAAGCTTTAATTGTCTGCTAAAAAATACTTCGTTATTGATATTCCTCATTATTCAATCATTTCCAACTTATGCCAAAAGCTTATCTTTTCTTTATCTTTATCTTTTTTACACTCAAGATGTGCCATACAAACTATGTAAATATTTTATTTTTTCTTTCTGAGCCATACACAAAACTGATATCTGATTTATTCAACAAAAAAAAAAACAAAGTATTGTCAAAATATTGAGATTTATTCGAAGTCACCGTTCAATTGCTATGCAAATACTGTTAGTATGGGGCCAGTCGCCCTAGACGTTCGAGGACCAAAAAGAGAATGCTCTTACTTCGAGGAAAGATGAGCAAAGAGCTTCTCAGCATTTAGCACTAACCCTCTTTAGCTTGAGTAGAAAACATTGACGTAAGATCTGCTTTTCAGCTCGAAAGATCTCGTTACGCCATTTTTGATGAAAATGCTTGGACAAATGCAAGTTCTGAGTAGTAACCTGAAATGTGAGAGGCAGCCAGATGGCAAATTTCTCTATGAGTACTCAGTACAAGTGCATCCCTACGAAGAGGACGAAGATCTTGCGGGTTTTCTAGTTTGAATAGCCTCGCCTTATACTTATTGGAATAGACTCATTTAGCAATCCTTCGCTCTGAGTCTCAATCGTCTGCGGGATTTTCGACTAATTCTGGTTTTGCCTCCACGGCTGATTACCCATCCTACTCTGGCGATGTAAGTTTTGACTTGACAATAAGCTTTCGCTTGATATGAACTTGTGCAGTTCGGAAGGGCTTCAATCAGCAGAAGCTTCCATTCTGAAGCTGAATGCGTCTGCATGTACGAAGTGCGATTCATTTTGTACCATCGCAATATGAACGGAAGGTTTCAGCCTCTCTTAAACATTGTAGTACTTAAAACATTGTAGTATTCGAATTTTTAGAGCTCAGTTACGGCTCAAAGATGAGTTTCCGTGCAGCGCTACCGTTAGGGAGGTCATCGACTACTTTCGAATCGAGACGGACGGTGTTCACAGGTTCTTTATGTCCATATGCTATGCTATATTACTAGAGAAACTTTCAATTTCAGGGGTGTGTTTGCACCTCGCCTTGCCTATGCTCTGGGAAGTGCGCGAAGCGGTTCCTATCCACTATTGGATTGCGACCTGGACAAAACTCTTTTGGAGCTTTGTGGCAATGATACGGACACTAACACAATCACAATCATTGCAGATGTTACACGTTGACCTTGTCACGTTATGAAAATGTTCTTCAATCAATTCTCTGTATTTGCATCCATTCCTTAATTATTCGTTCAAAACATAGTGGCGTAGATTCAAAACGCAGTAGAAAATTGAATAAAAATCTTCTCCAGACAAGAATTTGTTAGTTCTTTTCGAATTTTGAAGTATTCTATGGGATTCTCTCATAATTCACATGCCGTCTTGCGGAACTCATTCAGGCGTGCAAACTGAAGCCAGTAGTTACTAGAGAATTTTCAGAATTCGAAGTGATTAATTCAAATAAGCTATCAGTAGATGCAACATATAGTCGTCCTCACCAAACTAGTCGGTCAATGGTCGGATTTGAATTTGAACCGGAGCAGGTCGGCCTGCACCAGTTCGAATTCAAATGTGACCACCGACCGACTAGTGGGGTGAGGACGACTATAGAATGCTGACTCTAAACCTTTCTTCTTTATCTGCTAAACACTTTATGGACGAAGCCGTAAACCATTATGAGCCATTATATTGTTAAGAAATCAAGGGCCATGTTTAATAATTGCTGGGCCGAAACATGCACCTAGATTGCTTTGCATAGCCCATAAGAGCTAAAATGGCAATAATTATTGCTCAATTCTGCATTTTTTATACACGATTTTCTCGCACTAAGGCTGCTCATAACGTTTTCACAAAGGCGTTTAGCAGATATGGAAGACTGATTTGAAGTTTCATGTAGTTTTGAAGTTGGTTATAAAGTACTATGCTGCATCCAATGGTATGCAGCTTGTATGGATTGGCCACTTCAACTGACCATTTCTTGTAAGTGTTTTGTATTTATCTAGGTATTTGAGCAAGTCCTTTTGCATGCATGAAATCATTTAATGCCAGCTAGGTTTTCTGTGTGTTCAAGATTCACTGTCATTTTGAGGGATCTGTACCTGAAGACCAAATACTTTTCATACTTTTCAGAACCATCAACGCTTCCCATTATGCAATTTACAGCATTACGAAAGTTGTTTTCAAATGATAATGCCTGCTCCTGGAAAAATCTATAGCGCAAAGTTGATTATGAACTTATCTTTAAATGTGTCAAATTAGACGTAGGCACATTATCGCCTTTTGTGTTGCACCTTTAGGGGGTTTTTTCAAAATACTTCTTACTTTGTTCTGCCTAATGCTTGCTTAGGAATCAATCCTTTCCGATCCTTCATAAGACCGGAGGTCAAATCCTCACAAAAACTCCAAAAACGCCGTTCGAAGGCCTCGTGGAAGCAAGCGGACCCTCTTTGCTTTCGCCGAGACAGACTCTTGTGGAAAATGTAGCTAAAAAACGTGGAGTTCACAAAAAGCTTCAAACGCGCGCTTTCTCGACGTGGGAGAGGCTGTATCAAATCTAGCAGTGGGTTAACAAAGAGATCTTAATCAAATCCGTAAATCAAATTACCACAACTAGCTGGCTGCCCCGGCCACACTTAAGACCTCAGATAAGTTCAGCTAAGAAAACGTGTGACCTACATTCCTAAATTTCTTCTGCCATGTGCAAAAAGGCTATGATACGAGATGCCCATTCTGCCATTGATTCTGGGAAAGTGATTAACTAAAGCATGACATGCTTTCATTTCCGTAATTGTGAAATGTAAGTAAAAAAATCAGTAAATCAAGAAGGGCCAAGTGAATTGCCACGAAAAGTAGCCTCTGACCTCGGCCGTGATTGGAATGCTTGCAAAGTTTCAGCTCAATCGGTTACGGCGGGCGTTTCTATAACGAATGAACAACCTATCGAACATCCTGACAAAGTATGGGTGGTTATTCACATATAGATTTGCCAACGGCGGAAGACAGTGAATGCTCTACCTAGTGCTCGTTGCACGAAGTCGTACTTGTATGGCAAAAAGAAAGAAGAGAGTTTGGCAGTGAAGTTAAAGCTTGTATGCAGCCCGCTATAAACCGAGTCAATCCTCTGCTTGAAGTCATTGAATTGATGCAATGTAATATTTGAGAATGAAAACAGAAAGCTATACTATGGAAAGAAAAAACTCAACTTGATTGTAACTGTACTTGTAAATACTTGTAAACGTGGCAAGTCCTCACGAACATACAAAATTCCACTTCGTCTTTTGGTTTAAGTACGTGTTATTATTGAAGAAGGTCTTTGGAAAACACAATCACATTTTCCTAACTGAATTAGAAAACGTAAAAAACACACTTTAATCTCAATCCCAAAAAGTCACTAACTGCTACATCTCCTTGCAGTCTTCAACTTATACATACATAGTTCATAACCCCGCGATTAGAGGGAAGTCATACAGAGTTTGTACAGATGCGGTGCAAAAGGTTGTCAAAGGGAAACGTTTCTTTTTGTGGTAACAAACGTCGAAATATTATATGCCACTCCAAACATCTTTTCCTTGCACGGTGATCCTATCTGGCAGAAATCGTGCATCCTCTTCTTCTTTATTTACATCCTTGATTTTACTTGTAATGTGCAGTTGTAGCTGTCAACGTGAAATTATAAAGTTAGTCTGAGACAGAGCTTCAGATACCTTCAATGTATTGTCTGCAAGTTTCTCATGAACAACAACATCGCCAGCATAGAGATTATCTGCTAACCTGAAAAAATATTTGAGCTAAAGGGTTTTTGCATTTTCACCATGTTTTGCTTTTAATAAGCGGAGAACTTACTCATCTGCTAAATGCCTTTTGTTCTCAGACTCAATGTTTGACTGAAACAAAACAAAACTTGACATTGTGTGCAAATTCCATATCAATTTCACTGTGTGAGAAAGTTCTTGATTGATTATGCAAGCATTGACGCAAAAAAGTCCTCTATTCCTCTATGCGTGAAACGATGTCAAGGGAGGATACAAGCAAAACGAGACACAGCCAAATCTTTACCGCAACGCTTGGGGCTGAAGTTAGAAAGCTTGAAAGGCAGGAAATTCGACCGTTTGCTTTCGCCTTGATGGTTGCGGGAAAATACTTGGAAGCAAAGCAAACTAGCAGAATTATATAGTAGGAAGAGCGCGACGTTTGTAGTGCTGGGCAAAGTAGGCGTGTGCCTACATCCTACTCATGCTCATGTTCTCCAGCATCGGAATATTGTGTGCTCTTCTAATTTACTTCATGCTTTTCCCGTGTGGTAGGGTACGATCATGTTAAACGGCGAGTAGTGAGGGAGAGTTGATTGACTATATGAGACGGTGGTGGCGAGTTCACAGAGATGGTTCATGAGTAGAAAAATTTGCATGACGATTTTGGACCAAGACAAGCTATACTGATGTTTTTTTCGAAATTAGCAGGAACACGCTTGCACTGCGAAGTTTGAAGAAGGGCAGAGGTAAAGAGTTCAATACTTTGACAATTTTCGTAAACATGCGCTGAACGCAAATTACTTTATTTAGTTCAAGAGCCGGTTAATTGCCTGCGACCCTTCAAGATGACCTGCGGAGTTTAGCAGGTTTTCATAGCAATGCTTCTATTTCCCTAATTGCTATTTCCCTATTCGCTCATTTTGATCTTGTGGAAGTGAATCAAATGCCCTTCAGTCAGCTGACAATCACCAAGCGGAGACCTTCAATCGCATATAGGACACTTGGTGGTTTTGAAATTAAACAAGGACTCACCCTTCTCGCACTGGATGAACGAGAATGCAGTTTACTGCTCCTGAAAAAAAAACAAAGCCTGAATAGTATAGTTGATACGCAGTTTTTCCATCCACTGCTAATATACAGAGCCTGCATATCACCGAAACAGTGAACTTAGGGAAGTAAGCGCTCGCATTAATAACGCTTCAGATCCCTGTGCTTCGTATGCGGATGTTTTAACACAAAAGGACAAAGCCAATTAGCTCAGCGGCTTACTTCTTCTGAAACAAATGGACAAAAGTTGAAGTGGCCAGTCCAAGCAGCTGCCTACCACTCGATGCAGCAATCAATGGTGATTTGCAATATGTATTAGGCAGTGGCGTACCGAGGGGGGGGGGCGGGGGGGGCGCGCGCCCCCCCCGAGAACGGGTCGCGAAATTTTTGGAAGTTACTTACATGCGTTATAAAAATGTGCAGATGGCTTGTTTATTTTTGTAAACAATTAAAATAATTTTTAAAATTTTTTAAAAATTCAAATTAGCCTTATAAAAAAATTTTTTTCGGGGGCGTGGCTGAAGCCACGCCCCCTTTTTCCAGATTTTAGGGGTTGAGGGCCCGCAAAATTGTTGAGAAGCCCCCTAAAAAATTTTCGGAGTGCGTGGCTGACGCCACGCACCTTCATTTGAAATTTTTTTTTGCCGCGCCCCCCCCCCGAGCCGAAATCCTGGGTACGCCACTGGTATTAGGGTGTCTCATAATTTTTTACCGTTTTTTCGAGACAGCATTTCTCGAGAACTGGGTCACCTACAAAGGATACAAATGCATGATCGTACTTCTGTATGTATGAGCTATATGATCACGTGCATGCGAGGAGCTCAGGATGTCTAAGGGCGGAGTTTGCCTTTTCAATCCGTTCATTTATTTCTTTATTGTTAGCCATAGAAAAAATACAAAAAGTGTGCAAGTGAATGTCAAATGGTCAAGCATATGCTGGGATAAATGGGGAATTTTTGAGATTTTTTGGGGTCGAGATGCGATTTTTTTACGGTAAAATTCGTTTTTAACTGCTATCAGATTTCAGCTCAAAAGTTTACGTGGGATAAGATTTGGGCAAACTATTGATAGCCATCTCGTAGAGCTCGCTTTGCCCTGTCAAACGATCATTTAATCCACATCAATTGATGCAAAAACACAAAAACGACGTTTGTAATAAAAACAGTTTGAGCTGAAATCTGACAGCAGTTAAAAACGAATTTTACCGTAAAAAGTTATGACACCCTAATATCTCATATTTGCTTAGCACCTTTGTGGACGAAGTTATAAATAGTTTTATTGAGAAAAAATCGTACAAAAAATTGCAAAATTGAGCACTTTGTTGCTTTTTTAGCTCATCCTTAGGAATGGACTTATGAAATAACCTAGCTACAGGTTTTGGCCAAGCATTTAGCCAAACATGGCTCTGTACTGGCAAACATGCGCTTTGCATGCACGATTTCCTAGCAAAATAAGGAACTTTAACGGCTCATAATGGCTCACAACTTCGCTCACATAGGCGCTAAGCAGATATCGGATAGCTTGTTTGGATTAGCCACTTCGATTTCTGACCCTTCCTTGTGATCTATAGTTTGATGGGACATTGACTGCAGTAACTGATTGATCGGAGGATTTTGTTTTCAAAAAATTGATGAGAACCATGTCGCCGGAAGGACGAGGTCACGCGGAAATCTGCGACAAAGCGCACACTCCACAGACTACCGGCATTATAGATTTGTACCACCGGTCTGCGAGGGGGGAGCCCTCAAAAAAGTGATTTGCGATCATTCAAGAGCATGCTGCTTGTTTTCGTTAACTTGAGCGTTTATTTCACGACAGTTTGGTTATCGGTTTGGCGCTGGAATTTGAGTATTAAATCAATGAAATATCTAAAGCATCTATCTACGTGAATACCGCAAATCTTTTGCAATCAAATTGAAACTTTTTTCATGATTTCTTGCCAGTATGAGTAGATTGATTTTTAGTGCTTTATAACCTTTGAGAAGAAAAATTCAATAGGTTGCAGTTGGTAAGCGTCAACTAACTTGCTTTTTTTCTTAGAAATTGCGTACTTGTAGCTGACACTACCAGTATTTCTGAGCGGATCACCTGAAGGATGAGACAAAGAGATATAGAAAAGGACTGAACTGCTGTAAAAAGCAAGCACGCTGACCTTTTCGTCGGCGAATGTGTAATAAGACTGGCGGTAAAGCTATTGCGGTTACGATATCTGAACAAATGGGTTGACCAAACAATGTATTCTCAGTTGACCTTTTCACCGTTTTGACTGCCCTCGAGTTCTACACCATATTCGAATAATCCTAGTGAGCTAGTTGTACCTGAACGGCATACAATGATTGTGAGTGTAGCCGTAGTAGTATCCCATGAGCAAACCTGCAGAAGTATCAGTGCTCATGGGCGAAGTGGTCGCTTCTCCAGCCTTTTCACCGGTGTAAGTTGCTGAAGACATGATTTGTGACAGACGGAAGAAAACATTCAATTTTTTAGTTGCGGAACTCCCTATTCTGGTGTTGACACTGACGTGCACAAATTGATTTGAGAAAACGCGAAGTGAGATTACGTTGCGAAAGTTCTGCTCTCAAAGCCTGATACTCTTAAAGGCAGTGTCCCGGCAGATTTTGCACCTCCACATTTTTGCATGTTTTAGGCCTTTTCGCCATGTAGAATCCGAATTTGAGCTTTGAACGGGCTGAAAAGGCCGATTTTGGGGCGTTTTCCTAATTACAGAAAAGCAGCTTGGACGAGATTTTTAATGGAAAGTTGTGGGAGGTCCTCACACGAAGATCCTGCCACCTGTAATTCTTGCTTTGGATAGCATGCATCATGGGGGAGAGCGCTCGTGGGGTCCCGCGCCGAACAGGCGGGGAAGGCCGTCCAAGCGCGCGCCAGTTGGGCTCAGACACTCGCGGTTGACTCGCGCAGGGCAAAACGATGTGTAGCCATTGAATGCGTGGGCGACTCGCGAAATCGGTGTCGCGGCAAAATCAGGACACCTGATTTTGTGTCGCGGCAAAAGTGCGCGGCAAAATCGGGGCAAAATGGGGAGACCTGCGCCAGACACCAAAATGTCGCGATCGCGTTCAGAGCACGCGGCCTACGCCCTTACTGACAGCTTTTTGCGTCCTCTAAGCCCTCTCTCACGCCTTCCTTTTGACTTACCTTGAGTCCTTGGTCACGTTGGGTCCCGTTTCCCATGCTTTTTTTTCTGCTGATAAACCCAGTCTTACGTCATAAAATTTATTAGCAAATACCACATGATCTTCTCGAGTAGCGTTTACAATAACATCGAAATGAGACAGGAATCAAAGCACCGCAATCACGACACAAGGTTACGAAAGAACTACGGTTAAGAATGACAACAGCATTAATTTTCTACGACTACTTCATCTTCATCTTCAACGTTTTCAGTCTTCTGGATCGTTACGCCTTCTTTGGTAACACTGCTGCCTTCGACCATAACGCGCTTTTTCTGAAAATAAAAAATTATTGTTGCCAGGATCGTATAAAACAAACGAATTACCTTTGATGGAAGGAGCGTGGACCTATCAGGGTCAAAATGATACCTCCGGATGTCTTCCCTGCAAAAATATAGTTCAGAAGTATCGCTTTCCTTATGAGAAAACTCACAAAGCTCTCCCAATTGCTATCCTCGCCTTACCGCTCCATACTACTCTTTCCTCTGAGAGGACGTCGAATAATTTTTCGCGAGCGTCGTCATTTTCGGCTAAGTCCAACCACCACCTAAATTCTAGTGCATATAAAGGTCTTTCGAGAACATACATACTTATTTGGATTCCGTTTATGCTCATCTGGCGTCCGCAGAAGTTGGTCGCGGTGTAGGCCAAGGGCATCAAGGATGAAACCTAAATCAGTTACTGAAAGTAGTGTACTCAAACACACATTGACCCACTTATTAAGAAATCGACTAATCCTTCCGGGAGGTCCTTAAGATGGTCAAATTTCCCCTTCTTCCCGCTCTGTCTACAGGCGTATTGTTGAATTTCCGTAGGTGGTTCGCAGGCCTAAACGGTGATTACGAGACAACCTTATCATCTTCATCTATCTGTCGCTTACATTTAGAAAGAAGTGGCGCAAAAAGTCGAGCACCAAAAGGAAATGATCATGCTTGTGCGCGCGTTTGGTCTCTGCCACTTTTCCAGGGGGGGGAGGGGGGGGGGGGGGGAGGGGGGGGGGGGGGGGGGGGGAGGGGGGGGGGGGGGGGGGGGGGGGGAGGGGGGGGAGGAGAGATAAGCAGTGGTATCAACGCAGAGTACTTTTCTTTCTAGAGAGAAACCCTCTGGCAACGATTTCTTTTGATTTCTTGCAACGTGAAAAGTAGTTCTTTTCAACTCTTTGTCTTGTTCCCTCAGCTTCATTTCGGGTTCTATTTGAAAAAGGCGTGGAAAAAATAACCCTAAATACCTATGACACCCGCAAGTACGTTGCAGCAAGTCTTTCAGGTAGGTAAATTCCCTCACCCGATAAGATGTAGCTCGACGCAAGCTCGGTGAATGACAAGGTGTGGAGAACGGCTCTACAAGCCGCAGTAATAGAAGATGAGCATAACATGACATTTTGAGGAGAGAACCTCAGTTTAATTTCAATGAATTATTGAAAGTCACACTGTTAAAGAGCTTTCCACCTATAATATTGTTTGGAATATTGTTTAAATATATTGGAATATTGTTTTGCGCAAATGAGTAAGGAAACAAAGAAGACGATCAATTTTTGAACATTTTGAATGCGAGAAAATGGAGAGTACAAATCCAAGAGTCTGCGCCGCTCGTACAGCTTGACAGAATTCGTTAAGTCTCATCAATTTCTCATACGGACAGTGAATTTCAAAGTATTAAGTATGCGTCATAGAAACCATTGCAGCTCACTGATTTCTGTCTGCAATACAAGCGCGTTGTTTCTCGACACATTCTTCCTCACTGACTGAGGAAACCTCATCAATCAAGCAGAAGAAAATTGTAGGTTCAAATGAAAAAATCTCAAAGCACTCACTTTTCTTCTTTACTGGACCGAGGAAACTATCTACTTGGGCCCAATAAGAATCGCACCTCGCGCGATCCAGAGCCTTAACCTCTTCTTCAGATGGTGGAGGTGTCTTTTCTCGTTTTGGGAGTAAGTGCGCTGAAACAAGTGCAAGGTCAAAACAATGACGCAAGAATTTTTTTGATGAAAAGTTTCAAAGAATCTACCTGTGGCCTTGTGACCTGTGTATGTCTCGTAAGCCACCAATTTGTTCCCAACTGCTTACATCCTTTCACCATCTTCACTCTCTATGTACAATGACCACTCTTCGGCTATGGCAGTCTAGATCAAGAAGTATTTCCCAATGTCCATGCACATGTTCTTTTCTCTGACATACTTGTTTGCACGCGAAATTCAATTGATAATATTAGGTTACAAGTCTTGCTACACATCAAATTTTTCTAAGTAAATTCCGAATTCCGGCTAAGCCAACTGTCAGAAATGATGACGTGCGGGATGAACAGTGTGCATAAACTCTTTCATCTTCCTCAAATGAGGATTGAGTACAAATCACCGAAAAAAAGGCGAGAGTCAAATGAGTGATTTTTCTAAACTCGTGAGATGTAATCAGCTATAGTAAGCAAGCAAAACAATCTAAGAATGAAATATAACTTCTAGAAAGAGAGAAAAAGGGTTCACCTTTACTTCCGGATGATGATCAACGCAGATAATGGCCGTGTGATCAGAAGGACGCGTTCGAAATGAGCGTCTCAAGCTGATTCTCTTTGGTCTAAGCCTGGTTTTTATCGGCATGGAACGTCTCTGGAAAGACATGCTTTGCTAAGTATAGATTCATCTAAGAAAAAAAAACAAATGCAACAAATGCAGGGAAGAATTGATCAATACGTCGACGTATAGGTGCGTTATTTCGAAACCTCCTCGCCCGTCGCGACAAAATCGCACCAAAATCCGGACGAAACTAAAATGATGACTCGCGCCGGTCCACCGGATTTTGCCGCGAACGTCCATTTTGTGGGCGGATCCCCTGCGCGAGTCAACCGCGAGTGTCTGAGGGGTTGCGCGCGCCGGTTCAAGGGCCATTTTCTCGGCTCAGGGGGAACATCACCCAGCCGGATTGCGCCTGGAGGTCGATGGGGTGACCAGGAACCCCACCACACGTATATCCCCCAGGACCCGAATCTGCCAGGACACTGCCTTTGAAACCTTGTACTGCCAATATCAAAAATTTCAAATGTCATACAGCTTGTAAGCCTCACAACTTCGTTCCAGTATTATTAACGAAATCGACTTTCCAGTGTTAGTAACGAAGTACATATAGTAAACTGGGCCAGTTTACTCGCGCTTTACTAGTATCATATGCTTCTGTGAAGAATTGATGTGTCCTGTAGAAGAGCTATCGCGAACACTCTGGAAAACCTTTTCCTATCATTTACTTTTTTCCGCGTTACATTCGGTGCATAGCGACCACAGCAAAAATCGGCACCCTCTCCTTTGCTGCAAAACTTCTAATATTACGTCTGATATTAAAAGGGTAAGGCTGCGACACGTCGCTTCTTCGGCTGCTTTTTGTTGTGGGGCTTTTTAGAAGCAGGCTCTATGACCAAAATTTATAATGAAGCGCTGCGTTGTGTGCTAAGATGCAAAGTAGGTGCCGGCCAACCAAAAGTCAAAGTCAATTTATATTTTAGTGGTACTGAACCAATATCAAGCTTTCGCAACAAAATGGCTAAGAAAGGCGGCAAAATTTAGTAAAGTTTGTAGGTATTGAGTTGCCGCTCATAGTGGTACTCTCCAAAGACAATTACGATCCTGATGTATTAAAGAGAGATATCGTCCGAATTTCTGTTTGATGTTTCCATAATAAATAAAGAAAATAAGTTGACTATTATTGCCGGCTCACTGCCTTTCGTTTCCCAGTGTGAACTGTAGTGAATAGATCCCAGTATGTATTCTGCATCTGGATGTTTACTTCAACCATTCGTTTCTGGTGGCATCTCGCACAGCGGTGGTGCAAGAGTACAAACTTCATAGGGGAAGCGACTGAAGCAGCATCGAAACTAAGACGATGAAAGGAGTCTTTTGATAGGTATATCAGGCTGTACCGTAAAATATTCCACGCCTCCTAAGATGATTGAAACGCTGGGACGTTATTCGGTCACTACGCTCTCTTGAGCTGTTCAAAATCTGGCAATGACGTACTTTCTGAAAATTCCTCTATTGAATCTTGTGTAGGTGAGCTAAGCAGATCACTTGACACTTGATCCAATGACTCTTGTGTGGGAGAAATGGGTAATGTATCTGAAATGAAATTTGGAAATTCTCCATGTTCATCTAAGCTACTTTCATTGCAGAGGCACATATCAGTTAGCTTTGAATCGTTTTCTGATAACATAAAGTTCGTATGAGACTTTGGCTGCCTGCATCACTCCAACACTGAAATTGCCTAAAGCCGTGCAGGAAGAGAATAAAAGAGAATGATTTTTTCGTTTTTTATCGTTCTCTACCGTTTTTCTTTCGAATCAAGCCTCATAGGTCGCTTATATTTGGTTTCTTCTCTCATCCTAACATTTCAGGTCCTGACATGACAAACCAGGAATATACGGTACAAATTACAACCGCATAGAAATAGTTCTGATCATGCTGTCGTATCAATTATTAGTTTTTTTGTAATTTTATTTCTTTTTACGTAAACTAAGCAGTAATGCTTGACCCCAGTTCTTAGTGAATGGTAAGGATTCGGGCACTTTTGATATTTGAAGTCGAGTAACCCGGATTCCCTATATTGTGGGAAAATAAGGACTTTGTGGGAATACAAATCTTAGTTAGCAATGATTGACAAGCTTTTGTATCCGGCCAGTCATAAGAATATATTGCAAAGACCCGCAAAATTACATACCTCCTTTGGAAAGTTTATCTGTCATCTGTAGTGATTTCTTTGATCTCACTGCTCCTGAGTACAAATCTAAAGCAAGAGATATATGGACACTACTTAAGTATGCGTTGCGATTATTCGAAACAACGTGTCATGGCTAAAGATAGTTAAAATTTTCTCTCAAGAGGTGACCCCTTCAATCGATGTGAATCTGAATCGCAAAAAATAATCTAATTAAAATCGTTTCTTTATTACGACATCAACAATGACAATTACCCGCTGTTACAGACGATCACCTTTCGTCGATATTCGCGTTGGCGATGACCATCGCCAAAATTGTTGATTGCGCTTTACCTAGATGATCGCTGCCAGCGCAGCACTCAACTAATACGCATTCAATGCGCAGTCGCTGAAATTGGTCACCGACAGTTGCCAATACAGACGATCGCCTAGCGATCACCAGTAGGTGACTTTCGATGAAGACGGGCAAACGGTAGTATTGGCATTTCCAAGCCAAGCTTGTACAGATTGGACATGGTAACCCGTCAGCGATCGATACATATATTAGGTTGAATCAAAAGTAATGAGAACTTTTCGCTCTTTCCTTCAAACTTTTAGCAAATTGTGTAGAATAGTGATGAAAGAGTACCCTAAACTGTATTAAACGTAGCTTTTCTTTCTCTTTTCAGCAGCTGGGCCAACGGCTCAATTGACTTTTTACTTGTCGAAAAAATTTCCCAAATTTTGAACTCGTCATTTTTGTTTTGAGTGAGTTTAGTTAATTTTCAGAATTTTTAGTTTAAGGGTTTCAAACAAATTCGATTATCTGTAGACAGAGTATGTCCTGCTTAATGCAAACCACTTCTAAGGTCTTTCGAAACTAGCATTTTGAGACTTTTTAAAATCATTTTTCCAAAAGCCCTAAAATTCCAAAATCACTCACAACAAAAATGCATCAAACTCTACAAAATCTTTCGAAATTGAGAGCTTCGAAAATAGTCCATTGTCAAGCCTTTATTTTGCAAAGTATTCAAACGCTTACCGTTCCAAATTACTATAATCTAGAATTTTTTGCCACATCTGAAAAAACCATAGAATTTGAACGGCAAACGCTTTGGGTTCAAAATTTTCGCAAATATTTCATCAAATACGAAGTGATTTGAATGGAAAATACGGTTTCTGGAAAGGGGAAGAAAAGCCGTATTGGATAACGTTTAGAGTATTTGCCCGTCTGCTTTCTACCTAATTTGAGAATAGGTTTAACAGGAGATGCGAAGTTCTCATTACTTTTGACTCACCCTAGTAGAAGGTTTCGCTTATATCGGAGACTGACACCTACAAATTATAATGAGCGTGATCACTTATGCTAGCAAGCGGTTATCGCCTGCTCTTACGACCAGTTGGATACATACTGACCTAGCGAAAAAAAACATGTCAAGTATCGATGACTATCCAAAATGTTATCGCCATCACTGACCAGCGTTGATATACGAAAGGGAACGCTGTACTCTACAGGGGAACGGAATACCTACTGACACCCTTGGAGGAAATAAGATCACCGCACAAGACGGAAGCATCATTGAACAAGCTAAAATGGCTTGCGCAAGATTGTATACGCTCTTTAAGTATCTCTGCAAAATTTCGCTTTCCGATTTTTCACCTCTTTGAAGCCTTTTCGCCATGGGGAGTCCGGAAGTGGGCGCGGTCTGAAAGACTTCCTGATTTTGGGCTTTTCAGAAGCTCTCCTTTGCTGCAACTTTACTGATAAATTAGCTGGAGGTCTACCATGCAATATCGTAACCCGGTACCCATCAATGTGCCGGCATGCTGCCTTTAAAAGGTTGCATATATTCGATCGGTCATGGTCTATGCTAGGATTTATACTAAAATGCTCTGCAAACGATAACTGTAGTATGTCCACATAACTGTTAAATTACATAGTAGTGATTAATTCACTTGTAACTTTAAGAGCCTCTAAAACAGAATTATAAACATATAACTCTATCAAGTGTCGAGATCACGCTCGAGATAGAACGGCGTACAAAAGAAGAAGAAAAATCGAATGACAAAGACTCGCCCTTCATGACACTGAAAATGATCAGACTATCCTTAGCTTGATTACTTCCTGCCCTACTGAAAGCGGTCAGACCTGGCCCATATCAAGATTCACAGAGATTAGATACAGTGCAAATTCAACAATGTTCGCAATTCTCTTCCTCACCACTTTCAGAAAATAAATTGAAACGCTTTCCAAGTGCATCTAGCACTTTGGCTTGACTTGAACTTCAACCTTTGAGCAAGCAAGGTCCCTTTGGAATGTTTCTAGACAATTACTAGTGTCCCGTCTATCGCTTTTCAATAACAGTCAATAAAGGTCTGAAGCTGGAATCCATGAATCACGGAATTTAAAGGAAGATCCGCTGATCCTAATGCTATAAAGATTGAATATGCTGAAAGATGATACAATCACCAATGCCTTCACGGCACGTGCATGTGCTCTGAATAGTTTGATACGTTTCGAACTATTGCTGACTACGAAGCTATTAACTGCTAGCGCAGATTTCAGCGTTTTATCTTTCGCTTTTGCTCTACACCGTTCCCTTAGAAAGCACACATGACTTTCTTCAAAAGCAGGCGTAGCGCTACAAAAAATGACATACTATGATTATGAATAATGCCAAAATGCGCTCTTTTAGCAGATGGTAGTGGCACTGCCATCGTGTTTTCTTGAGAGACGCGTAAATTCGGGGAAGCTTTCCAACCCCAGAAGTATTAGCCAACTTTTTTCACTAATGAGTAAAATCTGGTACACACCGGAATTTTAACCATAAATTGCTGTAACGAATTCAGGTGTTTATTCAGAAGTAGGTACTTAAGAATTTCTTGAACTTAAACGCAGTCATTGGAAAGAGAAGAAAAAACTGCATCAAACGCAGGTGTAACCGCTTTTTGAGCGTCATAAAAGAAGACTTTATAGTCGTTCGGAAAACGAGCAAAACTATTAACTTGAGGTTATTCTGAAGTGCATGAAGTGTGTTTTAGCTTACCTTGCGGAGATTTGAGTACCGGAGGCTCCTTATATCCTTTTTGGTTCGCTATTGAGTGCTCATTCATGCTATAACGGTAAGATGTAGCTTCAATTGCCGGATATTTTTTGAGGGGCGTAGGTTTATGAAAGTTTGGCACTCACTAAGAAAAATCCTTCTTCTTTGGCGCCGACCATGCTTCCGAGAGACTGTTTGACTAAAATTGATTGATGTTTGTAGATTGTAATTGTAAAGTGTGTGCGAAATCTCCTACTGCTTTGTCATTGAAATACGAAGAAGTGCTCGTGATTGGACTCGTCACTGCACTAGATGACGTTGTTCTAAATGAAAAAGGTGGATTTGTCAAGAAAATGTAGACCCGTGCACACATACCTTGCTTTTTGCGGCCTCGTCTTTTTATACGGCTTATTTTCTGGAAAAAGAAAACCTTCATTTTGTTCACAAACATTTCTCATAAGCACTGATATACAAATCGTTTACACGCATGTTTCTTTCACTCACGTTGTTCATTTGGAATGCATATGTGAGGATGGATAGTTGTACGAATTTCTGCCAGTTGTGGTGCTCTTGGTATGCTTAATTTAGACCGTAGATTTTGCTAAAGAAACAGATAGGCTACTGCGTACCCCGTTTCGGGTTGTCCTTCTCTTTGGCGCCAAGGCAGTTGAATTCGATATTGACGTTGTGCAGATATACGAGTGGAATTCGAGAACCATTCGCTTGACTGTAAAAGAATAAAGAATATTCAAAATTAAGGAAGTACCAGTTGAAGAAACCTCTCGTTCTGATGGTAAATCAACATTTCGTTCAATACGAATAACACCTTTGCCAAGATAAATGCGTTCTTTGAATAATGGATGGACTTCGCTTTGAAGAGGTGACATTTCCTAAACAACCAAAAAGTTTTTAAGTTTTATTTTCTTACGATATGAGCTTACAAAACACGGCATATCACTTCCTTTACAGCTGCGAACTTCTACACAATCGCGAAATCGTTCTCCACCTTTGCTTGAAGCCACTTGCTCTTGATAAATGCTAACCCAGAATGGAGACGTAACAGACAAGCAGAAAGGCGCAGGAGGATGATCTGTAGGTAAAAATCCTTCTCTGGTGTTCTTGGCTACAACCTCTTTCGTGATGTCTAAGGCGTAATTTCAAATTACGCCTTTCGATGCTCATTGATAATGATGTCATGTTCTAGGTAGTACGGGTGCTACGCTTTCATTTACTTTTCCCTCAAAATTTGGCTTGCGATTTGAGGAAAATGTACAATTTATGTTAATCAGATTAATTCAGAGGTGATCGCCACGCCAAAGCTTTGTGCCGCGCTGCGTGTACGGCTTGGGCATTCAATTTGACCTTGACAATTTAAGTTTGCACGCAGAACCAAGCGCTGGGCATGTTTGGTTCTTACTTAAAACGAAGTAATTGTGACACGTAAAATGAACTTTTTGATGAAGCTATCGAACCGTCCAATCTTACATGATAAGCATAGTAGAAAAGATTTTTCTTCGTTTTATAAAAGCAGCTTAATCGATTTTTATAACTTTTCCAAAACTACCGTGATGATAGACATAACTTTAAAAAAGCTGTTCGCAATTCCAAAGGCAGATTCAGGTCTTATTGTGGGGCAATCGCAAAGTGTACATTTCCTCAAAAATGATGGCAACTAGTACCCTCGTCATGGTAATGCTTCAGATTATCACAATGTTCTAGCGTCTTTTCGAGATTTATAAGTAATGATTAGGAGATAACGCTTGAAATGCTCTTCTCTGCAATAATTTAGTAAGCAATTTTTTTCTCAATTTCTACCATCATAGATTAATGCGTTTTTTGCTGTAAAAGGTCGTGATACCGAAAAAAATTCTATGAAGAGGTTTAAAAAACTTTGGGCAAAAATGTTCAGCATTTTTTAGGTAGTTGAAAGACTGGGGTTCGAAATGACATATGTGAGTTAGTTTCAATGAAGGATCACAGTCATGAATGTTTAAGATGCGTCAAGGGTTGTTTCTTGCGCTAGGTCAGCCATTAATTAATCTGCAGCTGATGCTCGCCTGCACTCTACGACCCGTCGCCGATCCCAGTAGAGTGGGAAAACGCAACTAGCCTACATGAATACGTTGTGTGGAACAGGCCGGTCTCTTTGCTAAACAGAGAACACTTTAGCTAAACATCCTGCGAAGTAGAAGCCAGAAAATCGTATCCACTTACTACCGCGGAACTACTGCCATATATAACTCGGCTGCACATCGTACCCCACGAAAAGTTGAGAAAACAGGCTATAGTCATGGTCCAGAAGCCACATGAAGATTGAGGTCAAACGGCGTGAAATACTCCTTAGTTGAATTTACACCATCCTTAAGTAGTATTTTCCTGGATAAGCTTTTGCTGGTTCCTTGAATGCATTCACTTTTGACGAATAAGCTGACCCTATCTCGCCTGCTTTCCCTGCATTTTAGTGCATTACCGTAGTGTCATAGGTGGCACTTTCCACATCGATTGCAAGCTTTACCGCTTAGCGTCGACGAGCCTTCACGTGTTTTGAGGAAACATGTTGTAGCAAAAAACCAGCCTAAAAATTCTAAAGATTACCTTGTACAAGGACTGTTTTAGCGAAAACTATCGGTATTGTGTGCACATCTTCATCATGGGTAAAGATCCAGTTGTTCACTTGACCACGTCTTGCTGACTAAAACGTCAAACCAACATTAATGCACATTCTCAGTGAAAGGATTTTTCCCTAACTGAAATGTCTTACATGTATTGCAGTATTTATTAGCCTTATCTCAATCATGTTGGTGCCGCACAAAACATCCGCGAGCGCCCCACGAATAGGCGTCCTTGCAAGCCTTTGAGGCATAACGTCATAAGGTTCTTCCACATTTCCCGAGCCATAAATACGCAGAATCTGACATCAAATTCTAGACAACAGCTTCAACATAAAAAAAACATTACCTGTGTGAGATTTATCTGTTCATCGCAGCGTGTTATAGTTCTCGAGGAATCAACCGATATTGGTGCTTTCAAAGGTTCCAGTTGTATTATACGCTTAAAATTGTTTGTTTATGTGGTTATCGTGTGGTTATCGTAGATTTTGCACACATTTCTGTCATCTAAGATATTTCGAAGTGGTGTAAGCTGCGGAGAGCAACAACATTCATCGGCATCATTTGCTGCTCTTGAAAGTCGTTTTCGCTCCCTAATCCGAGCAGCTTTGGCCCGCATGCGAAGGCGTGCTTTCAACCTGAAAAGGATAATATGACGCATTGCACTACTTTACCCAGGTTAGAAGGATTGAGGAGTGTTCAGGTAAGGATAGTGATGAGCCAATCTCCAGCAAAGTACATCATGAGATTAATAGATAAAATAAGCTGATTTAAACACACTTCGCACTTAGTCAACTTAGGATCGAGACGAGTGTACGTTTACACAGAGTGCAAACGAATAGTTTTCGAGAAAGGCAAATCACAACGTGTAATCCTCAAAGAGCAAAATCGCTTGATCACCTATGCTCAAAAATCGAGAAACTCCCCTATAAAAGGTAACTCCCCTAACTTATTGTCATTTACGCCAATGTTTTCTACTGACAAAAGAGAAATTATCCTAACGAACCCTAAAAGATACGCAAATTTTCTGGCTTACCTGCCTAACGCTCATTGCGCGTCAGGCAGGTAAGACAAAAAATTTGCGGAAGGTGTTTTAATGTCCGAATTGCTTGCAACGTTCGCGACGCGCAGGTTCATGTAGCAATTATTACGTCCACATCATTCACTTCTGTACTTTTACACTAGTCTATGTCGTGCGACATAGCCGCTGAGATCTGCTCCTGCTAGTATTATGCCGGGTGATCTGAGCTGGTGCAGTCATCAAGTTTCTGCGAGATTTTCGCAAAATCTGTGCTATCTGCTTGTGGCCGCGAGTTAGTGAGATGATCTGACCATATGATGGACGTAGGGCAAATTTTTTGTACCACGCCGGGCATCTCTTTAAGCTCTCGTAACATGAACGAATATCCTGTCAAAACTGGATATGCATTGGGTATCCTTAAGACTATAATCACGACATTGCATGATTTCAACGTTGGGAGGGCAACGGATACAGGACAATGCGCCAGTTTGAGAGCAAAATCCTCGGGTAGAAGTCCGTGCTGTACGCCAAGATGCTTACTCAGACAGTTTCTAGAGATACTCGCGACCCAGCGATGCCTTTTGGCCCTGCTTGGGCGCTAAAGTCTTCAATGAAGCATCCTCGACCTGGCTGTCGTAGATTATTTGTGAATCTACGACCTTTACCATTGTAGAGTCATATTGTATGCAATATTCCGTATCCACTAGCTTGTCGTTGACAGACATTACTGTTCACGGACCACATAAGCCGCCAGGTCACTCCTCCACTGTGCTTGATAGTCTACTTGGCGGCGCCTACTTTCATGTAGGCAATCCTTGATTCTGTATGATACTGTTATTTGCCAGAAGTGAGCATTCAGGTTATCCACGCCCAAAAAAGTGGCATAAAAGGGCCTGAATACTCAGTTCTGGGGTTGGTTCGATTAATACCACTATCGTCAGCGGCTGTTCCGCATATTCACTGTTAATAGTCAGCGGCTGCTCCGCTACTATTTAATAAACAGTTATACCCGTTGTGGTACCAGCTTGGTGTATACCAAATTGGTTTTATCTGCTCGGCAATGCGCGGCTCAGTGGGGCAGAGTTGGGCCGAGAGGTTAGTGCCCTTAACTACGGCAAGGAAGGTTCCGCGGCGGGCCTAATCTCCTTGGCGAATCTCTTGCCCCACGAATCCAGCGTCAGGCTGCTTAACCAAGAGGAAACAAGCACAAGCCGGCTGAAGAAGAAACTCTATCGCATCAAATACCCTTTTATGTCTCACAGGATATTTTGAGAAAAGCTGGGGCGTTCCCCGGAGGGACGTACATTCGAGCCCGACGAATGTGGACAGCAGGCGAGGGTTACCGTCTCAGCAAGATGAGCGGGGACGGCTAAAGAAGCTAGCTCATCACAGGAAAGCCCCAAGTTATCGACATTACTTCTAGTTACTATCAACGTCGGTTCACTCACAGCTCGACATCACAATCTAGCCGATCTTCTCAGAAGACGTAAAGTAGACATCGCATGTATTCAGGAGACCAAATGGAAGGGTGAAAAGGCGCATGACATCGAAGATGGCTACAAGCTTCTGTACAAAGGAACGACGAACCGAAATGATATCCGCATTGTCGTCTCTGAAGTTCCAAGAGATAAGATTACCGGTGTAGATCGAAAGAGTGACCGTCTCATGAGTATAAGATTGGATACCGGGAAGAAAACACTTCAAGTAGTAACGGCTTATGCATCGCAAGCGGGATTTGAAGAAATGGAGAAGGAAGAATTCCGGCAGTTGCTTGATGACTACGGCAGTTCGATACCAGAAGAAGAGATGTTTTTGATCGGTGCGGATCTCAATGGGCATGTCGGAGAACAACGAAGTGGTCTATAGAAGTGCCATGGAAATCACGGTTACGGAACACGTAACGACGAAGAAGAACGTACTCTGGAGTTTGCTACAGCCCACAACTTAGCCTTGGCGAATACGTACTTCATCAAGAAGAAGACCAGCCACCTCGTCACGTATGCAAGTGGAAACCACAGATCGCAGATAAACTTCTGAAGCGTACGGTACAACGAGCTTAAGTATGTAAAAGATAGCAAAGTTATTCCAGGTGAAGAATGCGTACCACAACATCGGCCACTGATACTGATCTCAATGTCCCAGTCGACAGGAGAAGAAGGGCGATGGCCGAACAAGAAGTACGCATCAAATGGTGGAGGCCTGAAGACAATGCTCGAACCAGAACGTCAATGGAATCTGCCCTGCCGATATTGTAAAGTAATCCAAACTTCTATATGCTTCTGAAGGACAACATCCATCAGATAACTGGCGATGCTAGGCCGCACAAAGCCCGGAAGACGGAAGCTCGAAAAAGAAACATGGTGGTGGAATAACGAAGTGCAATCGTGGTAAAGAACAAGAAGTCGGCATACAGAACATGGCAGAAGACAAGATCAGAAGATGCTCACCCAAAGCTACCTGGAAGCGAAACGAGAAGCCAAGAAAAGTGTCAGAGAAGCAAAAGGAGCATACGTAGCGAGCTGTGGAGGAAGCTGCACACTTGCAAAGGCGAACAAGAAGTCTATCGGATTGCGAGAAGAAGAGCGAACGCTACAAAAGACATTGAACACTTCTACAACATCAAGGATACACATGGACGAATGCTGAGAAAGCCACAAGAGATAAACGAAAGATGGAGAGTTTACTTCGCAGAAATGGCGTCGCTAACTCCGAGTACGAGTCCACCATAACAGCCGATTCTGTGATTGGATCAGTACCAGCGATCACAGAAGTTGAAGTCCGTACCGCCATAATGAGATGAAGAACGGCAAAGCAGCAGGTCCAGGCACATCTCCAGATATTCTGGAAGAATGGACAAGATGGAATCTCGTGGCTTACAAGACTTCTGAATCAGATAATAGAATCCGCGAGAACAAAGGCGACATAGCCGATTTACAGACCAATTCGACTCGTGTGCCACACGTTGGAGATCTTCGAAAGAACTGGAGATGCGGCTTCGAACTATCACACAATTGGCCCCCTATCAATGCGGCTTCTTAAAGGGATGCCGTACAACCAATGCCATCCGCATGGTCAGAATAATGATGGAAAGAAGCAGGGAAAAGCAGTGTGAGCTTCATGCGGCATTCCTCGATCTGGAAAAAGCGTTCGTTAGAGTACCACATCACCGAATATGGTGGGCACTACGGAAGCACGAGGTACCAGATATCCGTCCAGACATCCGCTGATCGGAATGATATACAAAGGAGTCATCAGCCACGTACGAACGGCAGCGGGACACTCAGACGACTTCCAGATACGCCAGCGTGCATCAAGTTTCCCGTACTGTCACCGCTACTCTTCATCCAGTCGTGGACACGATAGTAAGAGATTTCACGCCAGCTCCCATGGTTCGTCATGTACGCAGACGATGTGATCCTGATGGTAAAAAGCAGGAAAGAATTGGAAACTGATGTGGAGACATGGAAAACACAACCTGAGCTGCATGGTACGAAGATAGGTACCGCGAAGACAGAATACATGGGGATGGGACTTCAAACGCCAGGAACGATCAAGACTGCAGACACAGCAATCAAGAAGACCACGTCATTCAAATACTTTGGAAGTTGCATAGCAGCAGATGGCTCACTTCGCGACGAGATAAACGGCAGAATAAAAGCAGCTTGATGAGATGGAGGAGCCATACAGGAATTTCATGCGACAAACGGATGCCACTGGAGCTGAAGTCACAAATGTATCGCACTGTAATCCGTCCAACCGCGTTGTATGGAGGCGAGTGTTGTCCAAGCACAAGTAACGATGAGCGGAAGCTTGGTGTGATGGAAACACATGCTGCGATGGACGATAGGCGTGACTATGCTCGACCACGTCATGAATGATACGATACGAACCACCATGAAAGTAGCTCCGATAGTCAAAAAGCTGCAAGAAAGACGACTTTGATAATACGGGCACGTGAGAAGACGAGAGGAAGAACACATCACAAAGTTAGCAATGTCAGTGGAGGTGCCCGGGAAAAGACCACGAGGAAGACCCAAGCTAAGATGGACCGATCGAGTGAAAGCAGACTTGAGAGGAGTTGGATTAGAAGTCGAAAGTTGGATTAGCGACAAGTCGTAGATCGAGAAGAATGGAAGAGACTGACAGGAGCGGGAGGCCCCGTGTAGGGACAGATGCAAGGATGAAAAAAATGCGCGGCTTGTGTTATTGAGAGGGAAAGGTCGCGGCACCCACTCTATAATCAGAATACTCACGACCCAAAGAAAAACCAGTCGAGCCCGAGCCTTGCTGGACATAATGCATGTTGAATTTCGGAAAGCTCCGGGCGCCTTGAGGAAGTTCTTTCGTCGGGTAAACCCCTGTCCCTATCAGACACCGCCCATATCTCATTTCGCCACGTGCAGTGATGGCGTCATGCATGTTAATGTCGGGCAGCCTTTTGGACCATGGCCCACGAACAATTTCGCGACCGAGGCCTTGTTGGGCGTCACAATTCTTGTACGCTGTAAATGGAGACGTTACGCGTGTGAGTTACGCAGTGGTGATAGGGCTACTTCAGCCTTTATCTTTTCGGTTCTGACTAGCATAAAGCAAGTAAGCTCAAAAGCAGTGTCCGGACCGGTTGGCGAGCCGTCTATCTCAACAGTTTATTGAATCGGGCTGCCTATGCAAATCTTAGCCAAGTTGCCACTGCGAGTATTCCTTCTGAAGCGGGAAATTGTTTCAGAAGTGATCTAACCCATTCGTCCTTACCTAAGCAGGACTCGTAGGGAGACACGCCACTGCAGCCAATGACAGCGCCGCAACGACCGTGTCCCAGGACGATTTCCTGCTTCAGAAAAGACCGAGAGCGTATATGTTTAATCAAACTTTTGAAGCGATTTTCTTGCGTCAAAGCAATATTTCGCATTCGCACCCGGGCTGTGATCTGCATGGGCAGCCCGCTTCAGTAAATTGGTGAGACTGAGATGCTCCCAGATTTACCCGGGCACTGGCTTAAACGGTGATCTACACTGTGAAAGTCTTATGCTTTTTCTCACCTCATCTTATTTGCCAGCATGCTGACATCGCTTCGAAATGGGTGAGGAAGCCTTCGACGACGATGTGGAGTATTGTCGCTTTTGATGTCAGATTTTCTCATCTTAGTCTTTTTGCTCTCCTCATCATCGGCATGAGAGGTAAGAAGACTAGTCTGCGTTAAGTCGGATATTTTGCTTGATTTTGGACTAACAAAGTCATCACTATTCAAATCTTTTGGAATTTCGACTTCAGCGAGGGATGGTCTTCTCAGTCGCTTTTTAGAAGGAGTTTGCGCTTGTTGCATTTGCATTTCTGAAGCAAGAGAATTTGGGGCGGTGAGAGGTTGTGCCGTGTTGAGCCTTTCTTTTCCACCGATACTCTCGGAAGAAGCGGTGGATACATCTACCACCTTGGCATGCGATCCGAGTCCAACATTTACTTTCTCTCTCCATGCTGTTTTTGACAATTCTATCTCCGACAGAGCCTTGAGACCAATTTGCTCTAGTTCCTGCGCGGTTTTCAACAGATCAGCCTCAACGTCGGTTTTGTACTGGTTAGAAACAAACAGACTTTGATTCATGGGATCTCTCGAGCTTGGCGGAGTTACATCTCTCTTCTTCATTCCTAACTCTTCATTTTGAGAACTGTTGGGTAAACGAAATTCATTCGAGTTACTAGTTAAACCTGTAGTTTGCTTGCTGTTTTCTTCCACTGTTAGTGACGGCGCTGGTAACGGTTCTAACAACACGTTCTTGCTTTTCTTTTTTCCTAAGTTTCGATGACGCCATTTTCCAGTGCTTTTGTCAAAAATTCTCGGCTCTCCAATGGCGCCTACAGACTCGCTTTCCAACCCAGTGGCAGTTACACCATTTTCCTCCACCACTGATGACGGCGCTGGTGACGGTGCGCCTCTGAACTCGCTGTCCAACTCAGTAGCAGTTACAACATTTTCTTCTACTATTGATGGCGGTGCTGCGTTCTTACTTTTCTTTTTTCCCAAGTTTCGACGACGCCATTTTCCCGTGCTTTTGTCAAAAATTCTCGGCTCTCCAGGGGCACCTGCAAACTCGCTTTCCGAACCAGGCGCAGCTACACAATTTTCTTCCACTGCTGGTGACGGCGCTGGTGACGGTGCGCCTCTGGACTCGCCGTTCAACTCAGTAGCAGTTACAAGATTTTCTTCCACTGTTGATGCCGTTGCTGATGACGGTTTCAACGGCACGTCCTTGCTTTTCTTTTTTCCTAAGTTTCGATGACGCCATTTTCCCGTGCTTTTGTCAAAAATTCTCGGCTCTCCAGGGGCGCCTACAAACTCGCTTTCCGAATCAGGAGCATCTACAACATTTTCTTCCACTGCCGATGACGGCGCTGGTGACGGTGCGCCTCTGGACTCGCTGTCCAACTCAGTAGCAGTTACAAGATTTTCTTCCACTGTTGATGCCGTTGCTGATGACGGTTTCAACGGCACGTCCTTGCTTTTCTTTTTTCCTAAGTTTCGATGACGCCATTTTCCCGTGCTTTTGTCAAAAATTCTCGGCTCTCCAGGGGCGCCTACAAACTCGCTTTCCGAATCAGGAGCATCTACAACATTTTCTTCCACTGCCGATGACGGCGCTGGTGACGGTGCGCCTCTGGACTCGCTGTCCAACTCAGTCGCGGTTACAACATTTTCTTCCACTGTTGATGCCGGTGCTGATGACGCTTCTAATGGCACGTCCTTGTTTTTCTTCTTTCCTAAGTATCGATAACGCCATTTTCCAGTGCTTTTGTCGAAAATCACCGGCTCTCCAGGGGCGGCTGTGAACTCGCTGTCCTCAGTAGCAGCTATATTTTCCTCCACTGTTGATGACGCTGCTGATAATGGCTCCAGTAACACGTCCTTGCTTTTCTTTTTTCCCAAAATTCGACGACGCCATTTTCCAGTGCTTGCGTCAAAAATTTGATACCTAAGGTCACCTCTGAAGTCGCTGCCTAACTCAGTAGCGGTTATAGGCTGTACATGCAAAGGATTCGTTGAAATGATCCAATCTAGCTGCCGCCGTGGCGGCCTTGAGCAGTATTCTTTGCTCACTGCACATCGATGTGGTATTCGTACATGCATGGGAATGTTGTCTTCTACTCCCTGAGTCATTGAAGAAATATTTCCGGATAAAAGCACTGCTTCTTCGTCATGTCTGAAGACGGGACTCTCTGCTACCAATAGAGCAAGCAATCGTGACTCACTTAGTGTTGATGTAAGGATTCACCGCCAAACTTCTCAGATTCTCTTCTGTTCTGTCAAGAAATCGTGTGACCTATAATGGCACAGTAAGAATAGCAGCTGATTATGGCCAGATCTGTCCAACATCTTGAAGTGCTGCTTGAGTAATAGCCGCAGTGTTGCTGGAGGCATCCATATATGTTTGAATCCTGCTAGGAATGAATCGTATTCGGTCACTAGAGACTTATATAGTGGCGAATTTCATTTATCAAGGTTGATCATATTAACATGTACTCTATAGTTGAGCGGCCTCTCCTAGCAAGATGACTTTACAAAATGGTGGTTTGACTTTATTCCTTAATGCTACTTAGGAGTTATGGAAGGAATAGAAAGAGAATGGAATAGATATGAGAATTTTGTGTATTTTGTGTAATTATAGAAATGTAATGAAATGGTGCAATTGAAAACGATATTTTACTCTACCTCCTTTTCGTTTTTTACGAAAAATTAGATCTTCGAGCTACCTCCCAAACTCCTCGGTAAGAAGCAGGAGTCCAAGTCTATACTAGTTTCTTATCAAATTCTTGTGAATGCTTTTGAAATTTCATACAGGGTTTAAATGACTGTAAACTACATATTGGCGACGTTTTGTATAGAAAAAAGTATAAATTGTAAGGGGGCTTAAGCGTTTTTGTCTTCATAAGATTATGTGCTTTCAAATGATATTTTTGACAAAAAAGACTTTTTTCGTAAATGGCTTTTTGACGTCAATGCTGTAGGTTCTTCTATGGACGCCGATTCGAAAAAAAAAAAGATTTAGGCTTAATTCGAGACACACTCTTTCGCATGCATATTTGCCCTTACACTAATCTATTGACATACAGTACAGCTCAAGCCCCTAGAGACGTACATCCTCGGTGCATACGTAGGGATCTCAAACTTCGCTAAAAAAGAACTGAACTTTGAAAAAGTCTGTTACAATATTGTGAGCAATTTTTTGGAAACTAGTGAACCAAAGATTTGTAAAACTCCAAAAACCTCCGCAGTTCGCTTTCATTTGACGACTTTCGATTGAAATTAAATTGAAAAATGAAATTAAAGGGAGGAGCTGCTTGCAAAACTTAACTGGGAAAGTCGATGAATATACTAAAAAATGAGCAAGAAGCTCATAAGACCGAATTTGTTATTATATAGCAACAAAAAATCTTACTGCCGACAGTAGTTCGAAAAAAGTTTGATATTTCATAAATTCTGATTAGCTTTATGAAGTCTACCGACTACATTGAGAATTGTTGCTAAGCTTTGATTTTTGCGAGAGATTTATCATTAGTTGGTTTCCCAGTCCATCGTTATAAGAACAATGTTTTGGGGGAATTGGATGCGCTAAAAATCTTTCATAAGGGAAAATATTTGAACATCATAATTGCAGTCACAAAATCAAAATACAGCGAATTTCATTTCACCAAGATAAATGTCTTTCAATCATTACGGTCCCAAGGAAATGATGACATCAATTCAAATTTTGCTGACTCATCGACAACAACTGTTAATTTGTGATCAGATGTTCTCAACGCTGTGCCTCCTTGCTCAGCGCCTTCTTGCTCGGACTTTGTCCCTCAACTGCCTCGGGTGTCTGCTTCTACGAACAGTTGCCAGTTCGATCTTCTATAAAACACATCTCACAAACATATTGACGAAGTGCTGAACTTGAATCATTGGTGTGTCGACATGCGTTGGGCACTGCTCCTTATTACGTTTTCCTGCGCTTACGGTGAGTTTTTTTTTACAGATTCAGATTTTTTTGTCCACCATGCTTGAAAGATCTTATGGTTTTGCTTGTAATATAATTCAGAGTGGGCGAAAGTAAATTTGCACTCATAACTCACTTACTTACATTTGATTCTAAATCGACAATGATCTTGAAAGTACTCTATCAGTTAACTTTCCCTACCTCTAAGGCTTTCAAAAGATAATCTTTATACTTGCCCTTTTTTCTCCATGTTTCTCTCTCCATCTTTTCGGAAAGATAGTAAATAGACATTAATACCAATTAGGTTGTAGAAATGTCTTCAAGCAGATAAATAGCCATGTCATCGTATTAAATCCTTTTACTTTTGGAAGCATGCGTCCTTGAGAAAATTTTGAAATAGTCGAGCAAACCTCCCCAAAACTGGATAGAAATGATCCCAATTTGACTTCTGGAATGGAACTTTTGGAATTTTTGGAAACAAAAAGCCTAAATCTGCTGCCTAAACTTCTTGTAACCAACGCTTTCTGTCGATGAAAGTGATAAAACATAAGCTTTGGGCTCTAAAGATATAATCTACACAACAAGCAATCGTACTTAAATCCTTTTACTTTTATAAAGCACGTAGCTTTATGAAAAATTGCTTTCAAAAAATTGTCAAACAGGCTGTTCCCGAAATCAGTTGAATAAAAATGACTTCAATGTTGTGTTTAAAATTTGAACTAAGAAATTGCTACCTAAGTTTACCTCCTGTCAACCAATGTTTTTTTGTTGGTAAAAATGATAGAACATAAGGTTTTTGATCCAGCACACGGAACCCATTTTTCAGCCTATGTTTTCGACTGCCTCGACAACTGTGAGTGTGACACCGATGATGAAGTTGTGCACTGCCACAATGGAAATCGTAAAGAACTACCACTACCCACTGGTATGGATCACTTTACAAAACCTTAACTCAAAGTAAGTATGAGTTTTGCCTTTCAGGACAACGCCTTCGTGGTTTCCCCGTAATTGGCATGACATACAATGATCTGCATAGGCTTCCCGACGAAGCCACTTTGATAACGAAGTTCCCTGACCTCAAGGCATCATCTTACTTTTGCATAGATTTGGTAGTAAAACCTGGTAAAATTGTACTTTCAGGTGATTGATGTCGAGCGTAATCCCAACTTTGATTGTGATTCATTGAAAGAGTACGACCGCGTCAAAATTGTCTCAGACTGCTACAAGAATGTGTCAGAAATTAGCAAAGTGCCAAGGATTTTCCGACCAACAAAGGTGTGTCGCAAAATTTCTTTGATGAAATCAGTACAGTACTGGTGCCGCTAAAAGAGATTTCAGTTTTCATTAACATGCCATATAATTCATATTTTCTGGTGGCTTTCGAAATTGTGTGTGGTGTAAATGATATCCAATCTTGAATTAGGTAAAACTCTACAGTTAAAAATATGCTTTTGCGAAAAAATTCCGCTGTTTTCTCTTAGAGATAGCAACGAAGATGTGATTTCATGACTCACTAAAATTGTGAGGGATCAATCTTCAGATAGAATCAACCTTGCTTGCTCTTGTTGATAATTTTTATTTGTATATAATTTTGGGATTTACTTAGCAAGCCATCTTATTCCGAAAAAGAGTTTCTGGAGAAAACATCATTTCTAACAAAAACCTTTTCCAGGATTGTGACATCAGTTGCCAAGCTGCTCGACACTATCAAAAGCTCCACCAATATGTAATGGAACTCTGGGAGATCCTGAAACAGAAGTTCCAAGATTTTGACGTTGATGCGGGTTTTACGTTCTTATCTTAATATTTTGCCCAGCTTTCATAGCGAATTTCTTCTCGTGATACGCAAAAAATTCTTATCACTATGTCAAAGATGTCGTTTCAGGCCACTCTTCGTCAAGTCCAACAATTTTTCGTAGAGCTTGGACGTCGCGTGAATAAATTCGGAACGGATGTGCAAGTCAGTCTGAAGAAAGCCACTGAGAACATTGGCGACTCCGCGGAGGAGATGAAGGAGAACGAGAACGTTTTGACCCCAGCACCAGAATTACAAGATCTGAAGAAGGAACAATAATATAATTGATATGAAATTACAATGTACAAAACTATTGAACTCAGCTTCGAAGAAATTTATTCTTGTTGTACCCATCTGTAGTGTGACAAATTTGCTCATTTCTTTGAAAAAAATATAATTCAGATAAAAGTTCTATCTTTTTTGTAGTGCCTTTGTAAATCAGCTTGACGACAAATGTTAAATAAATACAAATGGTTCCTGATCTACGAGGGTGACCCAAGTTGGGTCACCCAACTGAACTGAGGTTTGATGAAAGATATGTCAGTATATTTTGGAGCATGAAATGAAAAGGGCGAGTTCAAACAAAATTCTAAATCAAGATATTTGTTTATTGTGATACCGTAAACCTGTAAAGAAATTCAAAATTTCTTAGGCCTATAAGGCATACCTTTCGCGATTTCACGTAATCGCCACATTCTCGCGACTTGGCGATTTGCCAGATGTCTAGAGATTAAGCATGCGAGGCTCTCAAATGCATGGGTGCGTAGATTCCGTAGATTGTAACAAACACAGCAAGTCTGGCCCAAGGCAAAGTGCGTTTACGACCAGCTATGGAGAGTCGTTGCAGTGCCAAATCGCGCGGCGACTAAAATCGCTTGAGGTATGCCTTAGGCCTTACGCTGTTGGTAACGTTGCATTAGCCTTTATAAAAATTTGCAAACGGTTCGTTTACATTCGCAGATATTTGAGATAGCATTTTAATTTTTTACAGATTCAAATTCCCCCCCTCCCCCGGGTCAAGCATCCCAAAAAAATTTTTCGGAGCATGTGGCTAATGTCAAGCAAGTTTATTTTAAAAAATTTTGTCGTAATTCTTGCGTCAGATCAAAAATATTCTTCAATTCATTTTCATAGCGCCAACTGCTCGTTTAACAGTTGAGCGTCAGCTTACTACCAATCGGGCAGTTGTTGTTAACTGTTAGGACAGATGAGTCAGCACGGATGCGGCAGCAAAGTAGCGGTTGGAAAGTTCGAAAACCGCTCTTCCGCAACTGGTCCCTCACGGAAAAGTGATAGCCTGATAATGTTTTTGTGTGTTTTTGTAATTACAGTCTTACAGATGGAGGCCATTTGTCAATGTTTTTTTACCTAGGAGAAGGAAGCAAATAAACATCGAATTCATGCTGCGTGCTTACCAATATGACCGTTATTATTTGGAATGGTAATAAAGGCGTAAAACTAGATGTCTTGATTGATGAGGATGTACTAAATACACAGATGAATCTACCAACTGCTGCTCAAGAGATCCGATTCCACTGTTGTGTTAAAAATCGCTTGCTTTTTAGGTATAAAGCTTACTATCAGGGCTCGGCACAGGCGATTTGGTAAGCAAGCTGAATATCGTTTTTGGGACAAGTAAAGCGATTCGTTTTTGTGGCCGAAAAGACACAAAATTTGCGACGCTTTTTTGGTCGATGTTTCGTTTAGATTTTTCTAGGATTATGGTTTAGGGTCAAATGGGACTTCGTAAATTTTGGGAAGGTCAAGGGAACTTCGTTTTTGCATTTTCCAAAAGCCACCTCCTGAGCCCTGCTTACTATTGCACAAGTTCTGAAGCAGAAAAAAGGTCTGCAAACCTTCAGTGGACTTTTCTTCAGCACCCAATTGTCAATGTCTATGAAATGCTAAAAATAACCTAATGAAATAACGTTTAACTTTTTGACTCAACTCATTTTGGAGTAAAGTAATGACTTGCAATTATTTCTGCAAAGTAGTTTTGTTTTTTGTGAGTTTGCTAAATGATGTCGAAGACTCTGAACGATTCATGCGGACGAGCACCATCGCAATGAACCGTGTCATGGCCCATTTCGACAACGGTCGCGACCTTCGCGCTGCCCATGCACGTTGATTACCCTATACTACCAGCATTCTATCTCGAAATCGATTTATAGAAACTCGTTTCATTCCGTCATCCTCACTTCTCTCAGGTTCTCCTTATTATTAGCTTTTACTCAGAAAATGCAGTTCATTAGTTTCAAATTGAAGTGTTAGACCGAAGATTCGGCATTTGGAGCGTAATCTCTGCTCGGAATTTTTGGATACTGATTTCGAACAATGCATAGTCGCAGAAAATCTACTCGTAACTGAAAATAATTGGGAAATGCAGCGCGACCCGAGAAATTCCTGGTTAATAAATTTAGATACAATTTTCTCCATAATCATAGAGAAGGACTCGTCGTGGGCCAAAGTCTGTCTCCATTTAGCTCTTTTTTGATACTTTGCTGCGGTAATACGGTCAGATCGCATGAACAACTTCCGAGATTTTCTAAAGATTCTAAATGTGTATGTCGATGTCTCTTTGATATAGTGAAAAATAACAAGCAGTCGTTTTTTCTGGCCTGGCAGTCTTCTGTGGAGAATTTTTTCACCGTCTATTCCCACACTGCGGAAATTTGCAGTAACTTGCAGTTTCCACCTTTGCAAACCTGTTTGTCTTCTTCCGCTTCTCTGCACTTTCAGTGTGCCGAAACCACATGTCTAGACAGTCTGCGACACCAGGAACAATTTATTGGCACAAGTTCAGAAGATTTTTCGCGAATTCAGTCAAAACGGGGTCGATGACAATGTCAAGATTTTGATGCCAGCTTTGAGCTAATTAAGATTTGAGTGAATTTTTCGAACTATGAAACCTGCAGAGTCGTTCCTCTTTCAGTCAGTACCTAATTATTTCTCTCTTTTTTCATTTTTATCTAAGACTTATTAGATATCGTCGTATGCTGCTAATATCATGCTTAGTGCTTAGAAATGTTTCATCTATCTACTGTTTATTTTTAATGTGGCACTGAATCAAACCTCTGTCCCCTATTGAAGGAAGATATTTTTGTTGCTATATTCATAAAACAGGATAAGAACTGCTGAAATGCCTTGGTTATTGCAGGATGCCCATATCAGATGCAGATCGAATCAAAATCGAGGAGCTTCGTGGTCTAGTCAAAGAGCATGTGAGTCGTATGGAATCTAGTTGTTCAGTAGTTACAGTAAAAAAGAAATTGGAAGTAGAAGAGGCAGCGATGGAGAGAGAGAACGAGAGAACGGTGCAGTTATCCGGAGATCTTCTAGTAAAATTTTTATCTGTCGTTCGCCATAATGCAATTTCTTTAGGCTTCAAATGTAAATATCTCGTCAATAATGCTTTGAGAAATAAATTCTGTTTACTGTCAGATAGAAAAGTCGAAAACGGTCGCGCGCAGACTTCTAAAAAGCGTTTGTTTTATCTCTGCAAAGCATTCTCAAGTTTCTTAGTCTGTGAGTTAAAAATAATCCCTGAATTGGAAAGTCAAGAACAATATGCTGGAAGCATGTTTGATCCTCCCTAGATAATACTCAAAAACTCTTAAAAACCTCTCTCCTTACTGATGAGTCCTGGAGAGGGTTTAGGCCTCAAAACTCGTTTAAGGAAGGGGATGAAATGGAGTAAAATATGTAAGACTATCTTTCTTCTTATGAACCGGGAAAATTTTCTTATATAGAGGCCGAACTGTGCGAAAAATGAAGTTACGTTATAGCTCACTCCTTACTACGACACTGACTTCAATCTGCTCCGTTGGCTCAAAGGGCATGACTACAACCTGGATGTGATTGTACCAAAATTGACTAATCATCTCCTGATGAGAAAAGGAGTGTGGGACCTCGATAATCTGCCTGATAAACCTAGAAATCATGCAGTGCACAAACACTGGAAGGTAGGTCAAATTTTTCTTTGCTCTCTGATTAGAATACTAGACTTTGCAAGTTTATAGTCTGGTTTAACTGATGAAGCAAAGAAAACACCAAACTGTATTGTGAATATTGAACAAACTGGAGGCAATGACTACTGGGGCATGTCGAACGTCCATCCGATCAACGAGATTCTGAAGTGGGTGTTTTTCAATACATCATGACAGAAATTGCGCCGAAGAGCAAATTCAAAGAGGGCAAGAGAGCTTCGACTTATCTGTAGCTTCTACTGAATAATTGACGTTCTTAACATAATCCGTTCTTTTCCAATTTGAACTCTTTTTTGGAGTTCCCTTCTTTTTTTTGGTGCAAAACGAGTGTACTGAAAAATGCAATTAGATAGAATAAGGAATCGGGGTAAAAATTCAAGCAGGTTTTTTTACTACTTCAGAATTCATTTTTTGTTGGTATGAAACAAAAAATATTTTACCATAATTGCAGAGCTCGAATGCATGATTTGGAGAGTATGCTGCGAGCCGTAATGAAACTGGAAGAGAGAACCGGTAAGTTTCTTCTCAAATGTCAGAAGAGACATCATAGATGCCTATATATGTTTGTTTGTTGTCCGGACTTGCTGAAAAATGTGATGTTCAGGAGAACAATGCGCAGTGCTGTACGTCATGGATCTGACCGGACTGAAAATGGATAGAAATGTGATGACGCTGATAACAGGTGATTGAATAATACTGTTTTGTCCATTCTACTAGTGTCATGTCGTGTAAAATCAATCAAGTCATCATGAGGAAAAATTGCTTAGATTGCTTTTAAATAAAACATTGTTTGGTATCCCTCATATAACCTACTCTTCCCTCAGAAATTCGTTTCTGGGTCATCCTTCAAATTTAGGGGTTCGAGCTTTTGCAGCAATAGAACGATCAGCATAGTGGCCTTTCTGCACCTTTAGTGATGTCATGCAAAAGCAAAATCATCCCTTGAATTCTCTTTATACACTCACAGTTACAGTAAGGGACCCGTCATACTTCGCCGAGAAAAGCCCAAAAGCGCCCAAAAAGCTCAAAAAGCCCGAAAAAGCCGGGACGCAAAAAGAACTTTTGGTAGAATTCCGACATTATTTTGATGTGCAGCCGACAGAAAATGAAGCAAAAAGGGTTTCGCCTCTTTCGGACGTTTTCGAGCTTTTTCGGGCTTTTTGGGGCTTCTTGGGGCTTCTTCGGGCTTTTTCGGGCCTTTGGGCTTTTTAGGACTTTTTTGGGCTTTTTTAGACTTTTTTGGGCTTTTTGGGCTTTTTTTGGCGAAGTATGCCGGGTACCTAACATACTGTAGCGACTTGGTCGAATGTTCCCCTCAGAGGCACTTTACGTCTTCTCAAAATGACCTTGATATTGTATGCATATTATTATCTATCTTTTTTATTTATTTTTTGTTTCCTCTATAACCATCGTCTAGGCGGGCTCGCTTGTATATCAGCTTTTATGGCTGAGCATTATGTAGAAATGGTGCACAGCTTTGTACTGGTCAACGTCCCAACTTTTATAAGTGCATTATGGTGAGTCGTAAATATTTTTGAAACTTGTGCCTACAAAGTAATTTTATTTGTGAGTAGTGTGAGTCGATTTAGCGCCAAGTTAAAGAATTGCTATGCTTTATAGGACCGTTGCTCGACCGTTGCTCCCCGAGAAGACACGAAACAAAGTGAACATTCTTGGATCCAACTGGAAGCAAGATATCTTGGAGTTGGCAGATCCATCGTGTTTGCCTACATACTGGAATGAGGACGACCTTGATGGCGTTTGTAAAGAAAATTTCTTGTCGAGAAAATCTACATTTTGCTGAATATTTGATTTTTAGCCATTTCTCGCTTCAATCGAACGAGGCGTACCATACTCTCCCGAGGAATACTACAAAGGAACTGTTCCTGCAAATGCTCAGACATTGCATATCCCAGCTGGTAAAAGCGGCTATGTAGATATTGAAGCAAAACAGGTCTGCCTCTATGAATTTCCTAAATCAAACACAATTTGTTATGGAGATTATGATAGCGCGGAGGAAAGCACTGAGATATTTTTTAGGAGTCAAACTTGTCATGGGAAATCCATGCCAATGGTCATTTCGCATGGACTATCTACGAAGTCGACAAGGATAGCGATGCTATCGAAACGATTAAGATGAAGAAGGTTTATCCTCTTTTCAGTGTAAGTCTACAATCCCATAATTTTGTTGATTTGCCATGTCAAATTCGGGAAAGTTTTGCTGTGAGGAAAGAAGAAAAGCGGCCTTTTGTACCATGAGGAAATATCAATTAGACACCGCCTCCGCGGACTGCTGGTCCTTCCCTCCTACTGTTGTGCATCGTTTTAGGACCAGTAGTTAGTGGGAGCGGTGCCGTCATGGCGTGTCACATTTTGCGCCAAAAATCATATCTTTTCATCAGTTGCAATCAAATGCACCGTCCACTCTGGCTAGGGGTCTTGAGCTTTCTGTGGCTTACTATAGTAGGACCTCCCAACAAGCCAATGCCTAGGAGAGCAAAACGTCGCTTCGGAAGCGAGAAAATTGCTACGGGTTGGCGAAGAGGCATGTGGACCCCAAGTCGGCGCCGCCCCTTCCAGTAATGCCTGCCCCTACGTCCTCCCATCCAATCACCGTTTGGGGTTTCTCCAGAACGGAAACTGTCGGGCTTTTCGCGAATTCTCAACTTCATAATCGGAGTCAGGGACATGGGAGGCCCCAAAACGACCAAAACGTGGAAATCGAGTATAAGTGGACGGTGTCCTTTGTTTCTATATCTTGTGGAATAATTTCGTGAATTTGAACGAAGAGTCCCTCTTTGGCATAGAAATTGTTGCTGACTGATGACTCGTCCTGTGTACCACATAGCATACTTGACCTTTATCGCGCATGCTAACGAGTTTGCGAAACCCTGTGTGCTCCTTCGCAAAAGTACAGAGAATCCGCAGACCACGAAACATAAAGAAAGTCGAGCATAATGTTTGAAAAGTTTTTTGAACCAGATTGATCCCTCTTGAGCGGGAGAAGATAAGCTTGAACTCAGCCATAAACTCCGCTTAGCAAAAATAACGAAAATCTGCGCATAAATTTGAATTTAATCGGTAAATTTCCTACGGAGCCTACAAGAACCTTTGATTCAGTTTTTGGACTACTGCATTCCAACTCATTCCTTTTGGGCTGCGGTGAAAAAAATTTTCCCTCACAGAAATCATCCGGGCAAAGTGGTCAATTTTTAGAAAATTCCTGGACCTACGTTAGTGCCAATGACCGAAACGATGCAAGTGCGAAAGACTGGACTATATCGGTTCTGGTTTGGGAATCAACACGCTTGGTTCCACACGCTCAAGATTCAGTATGTCATTGAAGCAGGCAAACAAGACTCATGAAGCTAATCGAAAATCTACTCATTGTAACATATCATATTATAAAGCAATGTGCCTTTTCAAAAATCTTTAATGGATCCTTATTTATTTTAATTATGCGGTGATTAGTGTAATAAATATTTGCAGCATAGGTTTGCCACAGTGTCATAAATTAATACATAGTTTTTCATCTCACAAAATAATTTCGGTCATAAGAAATCCAGAGAATTTATTATAGCAAACATATTCACAAATGCAATCGCATATCTAGCACACATCAGCAATAATTGAGAGAGTGTTCACATCATTTCCTTCTCCAATCAGCTCTGACAAAGGCTTGTCCAAATCGTCGCTGGTCAGTGGATACGTTTTATCGTACCCGCGTCCAATGGAGTAGGCCAGTCTTGGCTTGAATTCACCACTAAAAGAACTTGTTGACATGTTGGTCTTTGAACGAAAAAGCTGAAGAGAAATCCACCTACAACAAAGAATAACTCACTGATGATCAACAGCTGTCTCAGAGCGGAAATACTCTATGACTTGGCGAACGGGCACACGCGAAGAGAATTCCGCTCTAGTTGTCGCTTGAGCCCTGAAAAGTGACTCAAATTTGGTTTCGTTCTTCAATCTCTTTGTGCCGATATTGTCGGCACCTCCTTAATTCTATATCACTTCGCCTGTATCTCATTGAATAAGTACCGTAAAGGTCATGCCATAAGCATGACCTGCTGTGATATAAGCCTGTTTATTGCCCAGATGCCTAGTAACTTATATAGTCACGCCTACTATCGTCAGCATTCTACCACAGCACCCATGAGTGCAGGTCGCCTGTTCATAAAGCTTATTAGCTAATGTGTTCTATATAACACACACTACCAGGCGCTATTCGCCTCAGGCTACAGTAAAGCCAAGGAACCACCCTTACATTTGGTGCATCGGCCAAATAAGACCGATATGTGCTTGCTCAAGAGCAGCACAACAACAACAACAACAATGAGGATTTCGCCTTTCCTCAAAGATGTATTCAGAACGTCCACCATGGAACTCGCGGAATTACTGGAGAAGTACGCGTGCCACGGTGAGAACAAAAATTTTCCAGACGATCAAGGGCGCCAAGAACTAGGCACTTCACATCTGGATATGCTTACAAAATGCACAGAGGAAGTCAAAGAGAGCATCGAACTGCTGGAAATGGACTACGAAATATTGATGGAAAGGCTCGAGGAATTTAATCACGAAGCTGCGAAGAAGGTGATGGCGGAGAAATGGGACAAATTGGAAAAAGAGATAAGATTTTTCAAAACCATTACTGACGCTCGCATGTTTGTTCATCTTCTGCAAGCCCGTATAATACTAAGCGAGATGGAGCTGATTAGTGCATGCAGAAGATCGTTTGCCACACGAAGCCAGAGCGCTGATATTTCGCTTGATGATCAAAACAATGATTCACCATCAGAGTTGAGCCATATCAGCGGTATTCCAGAAGAGGAATATATCAGTGATGCAATGCAAGATGTCAATAGTGGAAGCGACAGTGAAAACGACGCCAAAAACTACAAGACAGAGGCTGAAAACAGTGATGGCAATCTACAATCTATCGCAGACTGGAGGATGACCTTAGCACAGGTCATTACATCAGGAATGATACAGGCAAACACAGGCTCTGACGTTAGTAAAAGGCGAAATTCCCAGAGTTTGCAATTTCGACGCAAGATGAAGCATGACAAGAAGCGTGGTCGCGAACCTCTCCACTCGTCTTCCTCTCCACTTCATGAAAGTCCCTCAAATCGCCGGCGCCTCATCTTCAATCGCGTCACAGTGCAGCAACGACCCCTACGAGATCCAGACAAACGCCACCGCTTTATAGACAATTGTTGCTGCGTGATTAGATTTGCTACTTTGCTATTAGTTCCAACATTCCGCTCCTTATTCCTTCTGCCGGCAGGAGTGTGCCGATATTGTCGGCACCTCCTTAATTCTATATCACTTCGCCTGTATCTCATTGAATAAGTACCGTAAAGGTCATGTCATAAGCATGACCTGCTGTGATATAAGCCTGTTTATTGCCCAGATGCCTAGTAACTTATATAGTCACGCCTATTATCGTCAGCATTCTACCACAGCACCCACGAGTGCAGGTCGCCTGTTCATAAAGCTTATTAGCTAATGTGTTCTATATAACACACACTACCAGGCGCTATTCGCCTCAGGCTACAGTAAAGCCAAGGAACCACCCTTACACTCTTTGCCCTATTAAACTTGAAAAATCCCAACTTAACACTGAATTTTTGTAGTTCTCAATCACTGAACATACTTTGGAGGAGCACATGATTTACAACGCTTTAGATGTACTACATATATCAATAGGAACAGTCGATAAGATATCTGCCGAGTACACTTGGCAGGCACTTTTTTGGGGCACACTGCGCCTCTTTCTATCGGCTTTCTAGCCGCTCGTTTATTCACGGCTCGGCTATTATTTGACAGATGTTCCCTTGTTTTATCACTTCGCTACTCAATCCTTGAAAGCTTTTCAGTCCTCTTTATGCCAGATAACTTTTGTAAAGGCTAATTTGAGAGGAAGTTGTAATCAGCGCGATTTCCATGAGTTACGACATCAATAAATTTACACTCCAATATCAAACCCAACTGCCTCATGAAAGTAAAGACTGTAGACTTTATTTTGAGGGAGGATTGGCGATATTCACTTCTAAAATTTTTTTTTGCAGAATCTAATTGAATTTTTCCATAAAGCAAAAAAATTATCTCAATGATTTACAAGTTGAGAAGAAGTCACTTGTCAATTTTATTGGGTCGCCGCGGAAGTAACTTCGCTTTGGGTAGAGGTTCGATATGTTACCGAATGTAGGAGGGTCTTGGACTTCTTGCAGAAACGCACCTCCATGCATGTAAAAAGGTGCGTATTTGTTGCAGGTGACCGCTAGGGCCTCCCCATTTCGGCGACATATAGTCCCGTATTTTCGCTTTCTTGAACGAGCGCCGAATAAGGGTTTACGTAAGTTCTTGGTAGCACTCAATGCAGTATTTCATGTACTTTCGAATGGCTATCTTTACGTTGCGGTTCATCAAAAGACCTCAGAAAATTACCAAAAACTGCGACCCATGGTTTTTTCCATGGTCAGGTTCCGTTATTTCTCCAAATTCTTGTACTAATCTCTCGAAAAAGTCCAGGAAACGGATAAATAGAGCAAACCCTTTACGATACAAAACAATTTTTGCCCTCTCCATAGATTACTTTTGAAAATTAAATCATTTTTTGATGCTTTGAAATTCATATGTGGTCATTTCAAACCTCATAGAGCATCAACCGACGAACAGCTCGAATGTTATTCAATGCAACATTTTCCTCTCCCTCAAACGGATGTTTTTTGTTTCCCATGCATATAGTCTTGGGGTTAGAATTGACAAGATTTATGTTCTTAGAGGCGCCCAAGCTGTACCCGAAAATACAAGATTCGATATTAAGAACCTCTGAACGCCATTTGTTTTGTGAAAATAGTGCTGAATTACAATTCAATCTTAAAAATTCAAAAACGAGACTATATTGGTGTTTTACTAGTCTGTGTCTGATATAAGTCGGCTAAAATTTGATGGTCTTGCTAAAAATTCTGTCAGAAAGTTGTGGCGAGTTGTTGGAGAGTAAACATATGGTTTTGTATCGTATAGGTTTTGCTCTATTTATTCGTATTTAGCTTCTTTGGGAAATCAGTTCAGAAGTTCAAATAAATAGCGAGGTTTGAGCTTGGTACGTGGTTGGTAATTTTCTGACAGCATTTGTTGAACCGCAACATGAAGGCCCGTAGTAAACTACCGTCAGGGAATCTCCCCTGAGGCGGACCGGAGTTGATATCTTGGCGCCTCAGTCCAGCATCCGGCGAGCTATTGATCTGGATGCAGATCGCTTCCTGGACATTGTGATCAAGTGCCTTCTCGAGAAAACAGCTACCTGATTTGATTTGGTTAAATGGGTAAGCCATTGGAATTACACGCGCGCGGCCGTGGTTCGACTCCGCCTAGCGACCCAACTTTTGCTGCATCGCCGGGCAATCTTTGATAGCGGCCACTATCCAATCGATGATTACCGCTATCAAGGATTTCGCCTAGCAAACGCAAAGATAAAACAAAAAAACATTTCGTTACGAAAATTTTGCGACAAAACGAAATGGTTGCAACGTGAATTCAATGAAATGAACCAATGAGTCCTCGTTTTGGACAGCTTCAAAAAAAAACAGTAAAGTTTACAAAATGAGAAGAATTTGTTTTTTTCTGTCTTCCTCGCCAAAATCAGCTGTTCATCGATCCTCTCCTTTTCGGGCGCGGTTGTGCAATTTCGCGCCGATTTTGTCCGCAGTGTTAGGCAAATTGCTGTGTATCGTAAGTTACTCAGGAGCAACTTACGAAGATTTTCTCTGCGTTTCCTCTTTAGCACACTATTTCTGGACATCATCGCTCATATCATCTCCCATGACCCGGCAGGGAGATCATCTCCCTGCCGAACTTCACCTGAGGCTCACCTCTCAGGTGACGTTGCATCCCTATAGCATGGGGAAATGGGCGGTCGTCATTTTACTGACAGAACCTCACATGAAGATCTCAGGGGAGATAATCTCCCATGACCGAGCTTTACTACGGGCCGAAGACGGAAAGAGCATGAATAATGCTTCGAACCCTACCAAGATCTTTTATAAATCCTTGTTTCGCGGAGTGTGGCGCTTGTTCAAATAAAGCAAAAATAATTTCGGGACGTATATTATAGTATTTAGCAAAGAGACAAGATTGTTATGAGCTTTTATTGGCTGACGTTTCGCGGTTTCGCCTTCTTCAGAGCCTGGAGGGTCAAAGTCAGCAATCTTTTCACTCAGTCGTCAACAGAAGGCTCAAATTTGCATTCGATTGGTTAGATCGTGCTCGGAATTACGGTAGTCAAGCTTACCTCGGATGACCAGCACGAGAGCTATAGCGAACACGTTATGATAAGACCACCCCTCAACTCTTTTTATATGTGGTCACGATCAAATCCACACATTGATAGGCTGATAACTCTTGCGTGACGGTGATACACTCTCCTTTAGCATTCATTTTTGGATTTTTCGTAAAGATCCAAAATGCCTCTAATGTTTTGCGTGCAAGGGTCTCAGGCTCAAAGGATAGGATCTTCACTCCAACTTGGAACCCGTACCGTTATAGCGTGTAATGCCGTGCGAACCTAGAGGGAATATAGGTTTTCGGGACGACCTAATATATCTCATTGATTGCACCGATAGTATCTGTAGTGCACAATCTTAACGCATTGACGACCGCTTGACACACACATGTGTATCGTTGAAATAGCTACCATTTTGTGTTAAACCCACTCCGAGTTTTCTTTTGTGTTGGATCAGACACAACCTTTACTCAATAGCTTGGATGTCCTCTTTTCTTGAAACCTCGGCATGTCGTATGATTATGATTGGCACTACTGACACGTCAAGACGGGTTGCACAATACCACCAGTGCACCATCGGTGTAGCGGCGCTGAGGCCTCTGAAGACGACGATAAGTCAAAACGTAAGGCCGCACTAATAAAAGGCTTCACCAAACCTCGTATCGGCATAACAACATCAGCATCATAGTCATACGACATGCCGAGGTTTCAAAAAAGAGGACATCCAAGCTAGAACCTTTACTGTTTTTGCCAGCATTCCAGAGTTACTGTAGGTGTACTGTAGTTGAAATAGCGCGTTATTATTCAAAAAATGTTGACCGGTCCGTGAAACACTTTGGTCGTCAATGTGTTAAACCCTTTTTTTTTAATCAGTAGCATTCTGATCTTTTTGACCGCAATCAAAATAATCAAATTACTATTGCTTACTTCCCATTTATGTTCCGATGAAAAAGCACAAATCGTACAGTGACCATGTAGACGCAGTTAATTTCGGAATGATAGCTGCGATTGACAGAAGAAGTGGTCTGAATTTAGCAAAACTGAAAACGTTTGCTCTACACAGACTACACACGCTTTGATTTTCTCCTGAAGACGCGTATGTCGAATTGGCATGAGTAGAACCATCTGCACTCTCCGCCTTCGTTACGCCTTCGGGACGCAGGATATCTTAGAAACGATCGTATAAATTCAATCCTGTCAATTGCGATTTCCTGAGTACGCACCTGCCAAATCTTCGTCTTCTTGTTCAGGGTGCACTTGTATTGAATATTCATAAAGGTATTTTCCTGGAATAGTCGAGGCATGTGAAAAGAATTCTCTGTTCTTCCATGTAAAAATACCGTTTGATTGTTTTGTACATCGTAAATTGGTACTGAGTACTTGGAGTTTACCAAGCATTTTTGATAAGAATGGTGACGAGAGCTCATCTGCGCTGAACAGAAATTTACATTCAAAGTGCCATTCTTGCCTGCGCGGTGCAGTACGCTCTCCTAGAGTGTATCATTCATTCTATGATTAAGAGACATGAGCACGCTTAGCGTACGTCTGACCAACAACTTCATAAGGCTTTGGCCATACATTACCCGTGTTACCGGTGTTACCACTGTTACTAGTGTTACTCGTGTACTGGTGTTACCGGTGTTACCCGTGTTACCCGCGTTACTTTACCCGTGTTATCAGTGTTACTCGTGTTACTCACCAGTCACTGAGATTGCATTCTAAAATGAGAGTGTATATATGACCATTTCACTATTCAACAGCAATAAAAGCGGTAACACAGTAACATTGGTAACATGAATAACACGAGTAACACTGGTAACACCTGTAACACTAGTAATACGAGCAACAGCGTTAACATCGGTGAAAAGGTAACACTGGTAAACAGGGCTCAGACAGCTGGCACCGGGTCAAGCTGGATATCGTTTTTAGGGCGGAAAGCAAAGGGGATATCGTTTCTACAGGGGCCGAGGCGGAGAACTGCCGCAAAAATGCCGCCGGCATGCCATCGGCACGCCATTGGCAAGCTGTCCATCAACAAACGAAGGCGTTGTTTTCAGCCAAAACGCAATAGTATGACACCAAATTTGGTATGTGCATGCGCGTTGGTGGACCGGAACTACGGGCCAAAAATTTATGAAAACTTATGTGAATGAAAGCTGTGCCGAACTTTTTTCTGAATTAGCTGGCACCGTGCCAGCTGGGTGCCAGCTGAGCTGGCACCGACACTTTGCTCACATAAGTTTTCATACTTTTTTACATAAAATGTATCTACACTGTAAAAGATTACATACGGAGAAGAAACAGTTTCATAATGTTTTCTTTTCAGCGTTTTACAGCAATTTGAAAACCACTCGGTCCGCTGCTCCGTAGTCGAAAAATCGGCTTTTTCTGCTTCTCAAGATGTGATTCGACCACTTAAAAAGCTCAGAAAACTCTGCAAAGTTCTTTCATGAAATCAGAAATGCATGAAAACACTACTACATTTTTTACATAATATAAAAATGATGACGGGTTTTTAAAACAGGTCAAAAGGGACTTCGTACAAAATTTTCAATATCAATATTTTGAAATTTCCCTGGTGCCAGCTCGTGCCGAGCCCTGCGGGTAAATTATGGCCAAAGCCTAAGTGTGTTTTAACACGTTTTGGTAATTTCCTACGGGAGACGGTCGAATGGCGCGTATTGATCGATTGTTACTAACGAGAGACAATAAATAAGTTCAGATTTAATTTGCTATTTTCGGACTCTAAGTAATTATCCTTAGTTACACTTCCTGGTGCACTGACAAGAATCTTGGAATCTGGAAACCTCGCTTTTGTAGCAAACGGATCCAGTCTGGGAATGACGGCTGCCAAAACGCGCGCACATACACCCAATTCCTGCAAGGAATTCGCGAAAGTACATGTTCGTCAGTAATCTACGAAAGTTTGAACATTTTCTTTCATAATCTGCTGGTAGTAATTTACAGAGACGTCTCAAGACAATCGTTAACTTGTTAATCAGACATAGATACGCAGAACGTGCTCGTGTCGATGAGTTTTTTGTTAGCAAACGCGTAAGCTTTTGTAGGAGCAATGAGAAGTAATACGGGAGGATGGTAAGAAAGTTGCAACTAACCTATTACAACAAGCTGCGTATCATTACCGACTACCCATATTCTCGACTTCCATGTTTTTGCCGCCTTCAGGCTTGCTGAAGGCCCCGATTTCGAAGTCGAGAATCAGCGAAAAAATTCCTCCTTTTGGAGAACCCGCTGTAAAAAGCGCGGGTGAGGGAAAAATTGCAAAGTGGGCGGCGACCACTTAGGTGGAATGACTTTGAATACGTCCCTCCCGGACGGATTTCTCGCTCCGGAGCAGTCTTTTGCGGCGCAGTTTGGGAGTTTGCCAGTGTGGGGGCCCAAACTAGTACGCCCTCACAATCTCGTCATTCCCCCCCTTTGAGTAGAGGGTGACTTTAACAACCCTGCAGAGTAGACTACATTTGCCAAACTAAAAATAAAGGACCTAAGGCATTTTTCAGGCGATTCCAGTTGCTGCGATATCAGGTTCTGCAAGCCGTAAGCGCGCTTTGCTTGCTACACACTTGACGCTTTGGCGACAACTTGCAGAAGTTACGCGCCTATCACTTGGCCCCGGCACGGTTAAAATAGCCAAGTCGCGTGGATGCAGCAATCTGACGGAATCTCAGCATTGCCTTAGACCAGGCTTTTGTTTAAATGATCTTATTGCGGCGGTAGAAAGGAGCAGCCCATAGGCAAGCCAATATGATATGGGGCATTACCACTGCGCAGACTAGTACGCTTAAAGGTAGTGTCCAGGCAAATTTGGAGGCATGGGTTTTTTGTGTGGAAACTGACCAAGGGTCTTAGCCTAAGTCATTGCTCAAGGGAGCGCAAATCATTCATTCAGACCTCGATATCTATCTACAAACACTTCAAGCCTACGCATGACCGTAACTTGCGAGTAAGTCAGGATAGTTCCCAGCGCGCATGTAGTGTTAAAGTGAGCGAAGTTATTTCCGGGTTACGGCCACAGCGCAGTCGCGAAGGGTTTGGGGACGGGATTTTTCAGCCGTGAATGAACCATTAGCGCTGCCGCTTATGGACCCCTCATCAGTTCCAAGCGAAAAATGATGCGCCCGAATTTGCTTGGCACTGCCTGTTAAAGCAGCGGCTCGGCAAAATTCCTCTGTTCAGAGGGAGCCTTCTCGCCATGAGAATCCTTATTTGGGCTTCTTAGCGTGTGAAAATAGACAAAATAAGCTTTCAAACCTTTCAATTCCAGCCCGCTTCAGTGAAAATAGGCAGGATGTCTTTAGCTCCCCGCCTCCTCTCGGGCAAGTCCCGCCTGCACGTATTCACTGAATTGGACCTCAGGAGCTTCGAGAGAAACTCATTTTTCGCCATTTTTATGCTCCAAAAAACCTAGATATGGGTTCTTGGCTAGAAGGTTCTGAAAAAGGTGGAATCTGGAAGAAGAAAATTTACAGGGACGCTGCTTTTAACCTTACAGATTCTCTTTTTGCATGCTTCAACTCTACTATTACATCTTTACTGCCAACTCGAATTTCTAACAAGGGAACGATACATAGTGTCCGTGGGTTTTTGAGATGAAATGCATAACATTACACTCGTCTTGGAGCGCTGATTCCGAATCTGACTTCCGTTTTTGCTAATCATTTCTCGGAAAAACGTTATGAAGGATTTTCGCGCAAAAGGAGATGTGGTCGAAAAGTCAAAACCGACGCTAAGATGTGGCGTATTGGCTAGTGCGATAGCCTCGCAAGTTAATGCAGGTTTAGTCCTTTCGAGTCCTTTTGTGTTTTTAAGTTTTGCATTGCCTCAATCAAGCTTTTTTCAAAAATTAGGCATCCTCGACCGTATTTCTTTTAGGCGACCACTGTAGCAAAAATCCCTCATAACTTCCTCTAGAGAAACGATTAGCGGAAACGGAAGTCAGATTCGAATCAGCGTCCCAAGACGAATGTGATGCTATACGTTTCATCTCAAAAGGCCACGGACACCAAGTATTGTTTCTTTGTAAGACAAATAATTAGGCAGTCAAACATTTTTAGATCTCAAAAAATTTGAATCGTTATAATGCCGGCAAAAAATTGTTGAAAAGGCGCAAGACCAACTTGAAGGCGAAAATCGAAAGATGCAGAGGTCGCACAACATAATCACGTTAATCTGTGGCTTAAAATGCGTTAAAGGCAGTGTCCCGGCAGATTTTGCGTTTTCACTTTATTGCATGTTTTAGGCTTCTTCGACTCGTAGAACCCGAATCTGAGCTTATAAGCGGGTGAAAAGACCGCTTTTGGGGAGTTTCCCCAGTTTCCAAAAAGCGGTTCGGACGAGAGTTTCAACGGATATATTTGGGAGGTCCCGCGCGGAGACCCTGCCTCCTATTTTTGCTATTGTAATTTTTGCTTTGATGTAGCATGCACAATGCGGAGAGCGGCAATGGGGTCCCGCGCCGAACAGGTGAGCGAAGTCGTCGAGCGCGCGCCGATCGGGCCTGCGCGCGCCGGTTCGGGGGCTATTTTCTCGGCCCGGGGGGAACTTCAACTAGCTGGATTAGGCCTAGAGGTTAGCGAGGTGGCCAAGAACCCCACCGCAACGATATCACCGAGGGCGCGAATCTGCCGGGACACTGCCTTTAAGGAATCTGAGCTTGATCGTCATCAAGCATTCATTGCCTTATACGCTTTCAAATGTATACGTTTTTGATATAATCAAATGTAATTGCTGTACGTTGTGTTCGCAAAAGATGGTGGTGTAGATAGGAAAGGTAAAGTAGGCAAAAGGAGCAAACTCGACGACTATAGCTTGCATGTCTATCAATAACCACTGCACCATCCATCCTCGATGTCATTCAAAAACAAAAGCCCATGTGCGTAAAAATGCATAGGAGCAGAAGGCGGTTGTGGATATGTGCAGCATTGCATAGAGGTAATATTCAACCTGGAGCGGTATGCATTAATCTCCCGCTCGGATAGAGGTTTTCGTCCGGGTCTTTACTCGACCGAGCACGGGCGCCCGCGCCCGGATGCATCATTTTGCGATGTTATCGGGCAAAGCCCGGTCCTCCTAGTCTGAGATTAATGGCAAGTGTGCTGACGATTCAAGTATGTATGCTGACTTTGAGAGTGCGCCGTTGTTTTCTGCATTTCCGCTTAAGCTCAATGTGCGCATGTTTTTCTCCTCCTTTCCAACTTAAGAAGCACTCTCATGTATTGAATATTCCTAGGTTTCAACATTGACACTGTTTAACACATGAGACTTGTTGCGCTTCTCCTTACAAGTTTTGTCATTGACACAAGTTAGATATACCTACCTCTCAGTGGCGAACCCAGGATTTCCGCTCGGGGGGGGGGGGGAGGGAAGGAGAAGGGCGACAAAAAAATTTTTCCGATGAAGATGCGTGGCGTTAGCCACGCACTCCGAAAATTTTTTTACGATGCTCCCCAAAATTTTTTCGTACTGTCACCGAAAAAAATTTTTTTTACAAGGCTAATTTTAATTTTTAAAAATTTTTAAAAATTTGATTATTTACAAGTGGAAACAAGTCCTCTGCACATTTTTATAACACATTTAAGTAACTTTCAAAAATTTCGCGACCCAATCTCGAGGGGGGCCCTCCCGCCCCCCCCCCCCCCCCCCTCGGTACGCCACTACCTCTAGATAATGTACTCAATAATCTTTAGTGAACCGTTGCTAGTGTCCCATGCTCTATAAAAAGTTGACAGTTCTACGCGTAAGTCGCAGCCCATATCCACAGCATGTATCTACACCTTGCAGAAAGTGATTTGAGCGCATCTGCTGACAAAAAGCAGGCCGAACTCGATTTCACGAGATGGATTACTGTTGCTCTCCGGGTTGAGCGCCTGCGCGTTTCATACATCACGGTTCAAAGACGGGTGATCGATACATGCCATCTCTGGTCTTGTAATGCATGGGAACTCGTGCTTCCTGTTGCGCCTACCTCGCCGTGGCCATCTTGAAACCGCTGTTGGCTATAGTTTGGAAAAAATAAAACGTATTGTGGAACATGATTCACGTGATTTATCACTGTTGCACTGCTTTCACCTCTCGAAAGCCCTCATTCAGTGGTTTGCATCATTTACAGTTTGGGTACTCTCAGTAATGGCCGGCCAAGGCCAATCAGCTGCTGCTGTCATTGCAGCCGCCAGTGATGAAGTGCGACTTAAAGAGATGTATGTACAATTTGCTGACTGATGTTGTATTCTAGGCAACGCAAGTATTCAACAACATCCTCTTGAATTTGGAAAACCTCATAGCAACCAATCGACGACGAAGGTATGCTCGAGTCATTTGTTACTTAATATGCGTATTGCACACCATACGCGCTATTTGACGAACTTAGAAGATTGGAACCTGCTTATTTCAGCGACTTCGCCTTGTTTCATTGCCTATTTTAATTTGAAAGGATATTAATTAGTCAGTAGTATACACTTCTACACTTTGTTACGCTAGAAAAGATTTGATCGAGAAGTTAATGCTAAGGGTGCCGTCCGTTGAAACGCTTTGTGTGCAGGCTCACATATTAAGCTACGAATGACTCGAAGATAAGTAAGACTTTTAGATTAAAAGAGGCAACCTTTACGCCTGATACGTCAAAGATGAACATATAGGTTTGTACAGCTGTTCGTAAGACCGTAATGCTGTCAGCCTTTTTTCATATAGAATCCGTCGACGCAGTCTTTCTTGTGGGGTTTTCTCCTATGCGAAGGAGAGGGGAGGGAAACAGGGAGACGGTGCACGGGAGGTCTTCAGTGCCACGCTGTGACCTCTTCCAACATGTCACGCACGCGACAAGTCTTTTCGTCCTCCATGTTTCGCTTCAGCAAAAGCCGCCGCAGGGTGTGTCGCGCTGCGGTTCTTTTATGTAGCATTAAGGGCCGGGCATACTTTACGCGATTTCAGTCGCGACGCGATATGAATATTCCAGCTGTCCATAAATCACTAAGGGCACATTTTAAATGTACAGCAGATAGGGCGTTCTATCAATCTAGGTAAGTTATACACGCGTGCATCTGCAGTCTGCTAGTATTGGATTCAAAGAGTTATGGCAAATTGCCAAATCGCGTCGCAACTGAAATCGCGTGAAGTATGCCCGGCCCTTTAGGCCCTCGGGCACAATTCAAACTATTTCATCGTCGCGATTCATCGCGACACGACAACTGTGACAGTATCATTGCATGCTGACCTTCTTGCATTTCGTTTGTGATAGTTTTCCAACACGACTAGTCGTAACTAACTATCTCAATCGAGATGCAAGAAGATCGGCATGCAATGGACTCGTAACACTTATCTTGTAGCGATTGAATCGCCACGCTCAAATCCCGTGAACTTTGCCTGGGCCTTACGGCCGTTCGAATCGCCTTACATCCAAGGAAAGGTTTGCCGCACTCTTGACTTGTTGACGTGTTAAGACAACTTATCTGGATGAAAAAAGTATTTGAAATCGAAACAACGAGGTGATTTGCTAATGCAGTGTCCCATGAAGGTCTGAATAGCTGCTGGAGGCTAATTACGAAAGGAAATTAGTAAGAAAAAGGGAAAAACATTATAGAAACATCATTATAGGAATTAATCCCTATAATGATCGAGATACATCTTAGACAATGGCGCTTTTGCTGCTGACAGAGCATACCAGATATAGCTCGCAAGGACAGCTGGCACTTGCTTCAGCTTTTCTTGCTCTATCCCGCTTCACTATCGCATGCGGCTGCTCTCCTACCACCCATCGCGAGGCAATCTCCAGCTTCTGGTTTCCAAATAAGCTATACCGCTCTTGTTTAGGTGACTCTATGATACTCAGACGCCATTAAACTTTCATGTTCTTTCAAAGGTGTATACGATGACGATGTCAATGCAGCACACCTCTAGTCCTAACCGTTGTGACTGTGAAGAATTCAACAGCTCAGATAACCGCCAGGGCAGGCGGTTCGCAAACCCGCACTTTTCTGAAGGCGGTCAGCAAATTTGGGGCGTGGCCAAACTTTCAGCGAGCGGCACTTCCTTTACGCTCGCATATTCTGCCAGCGGGGAGCATTACAGCATTTTCTGCTAGCGCTGGGCAAATAATTTCTTTCAACTAGCGCTGGCCAAACTTTCGGCAAGCGCTAGGTCTCTTTTAACGCAGTTTCGGGAGTACGCCGAGCAAAGTTGAGACTCTTTACAAACATTACAAAGATCCTTTGTGATTTTCTGCAATGTTTAGTGAGACTTCGTTTTTTTTCGTAATTTTCAAATGCAATCTCGTGCTGGGTCCTGATGGACTTGGTTCGCGTTAAAGGTGGATGTGCTACCTAAAATGAAGCTGGAGGATTTGTGCGTAGTTAGATGAGGGCAGCAACTACGAGAACGATTTGCGTGTTGCAAGCAGAGCCGAGCTAAAGGTGTGGCACATAAGCGGCGATACAAGCTCTTGAGTTGGGATCAAAAAGACCCCTAAATTATTCTAATCCGGAGTGCATGGCTAAAACCTCGTACCTTCATTCGAAAAAATTTTTTGTCCCCCTCCCCCCGAACAGAAATCCTGGGTACGCCATTGCATGGAGGCTGTATTAAATTAATGAATATCACTTTCATAGTTAGCATGTCAAAACCCAGAAGTTAGCGATTCTGATATTTACTACTGGTCTGCTTAAAGGCACCGTTCACCGAGATCCTCATGTCCCTGATTCCGAATATGAAGCAGTGAATCCATGGAAAAGCCGACAATTTCCGTTCGGACGAACCTCGGGTCAGTTCCCCGGAACGATGATTTGGGGCGCTCACGCAGGAACGGGCATTCCTGGAGGGGGCGGTGCCGGCTTGGAGTCATTATGCCTCTTCGCCAACCCTTAGGATTTTCCTGCTTTTAAAAGGACATTTTGGGCCGCGACTTGGGCATTGGCTTAATGGGAGGATCTACTGTCGTAAGCTCAAGCCCTCTAACTTAGTGTGGACGGTGCCTTCAAGTGAAACAGTCGTTTTCAAACATGGTTAACTGTGTTACGTTGATAATGCTCCAAACTCGTTTGTTTATGAATCTTGGCATAATGTTGATCACTGATATATTCTTCTTGAGCCTGTCACCAAGATTGTCAATAACTTTATTACGGCTGACGTTTGGCGTCGTCGCCTTTCTCAGGGCCTGGGAAGATCAGGCCCTGAGAAAGGCGCGGCACAAAACATTCGTGCTATTCTCTCAGAAACCTATCCAACTACAAGATACAATCCAGCGTCATGGATAGGAGCTGAAACGACAACAGAGACCCGAAGAACTGAGTCAGCGCTTACCGAGAGAGCCGTTATGTGAGTAAACCACCGTATGCGGAATGCACCTTACTGTTAATTATCTTGCGAGCCCTTAAGTATCTGACCCTGACCCCTTAGATCAAAACCCACACAGAGGTTCTAATATGGGGCCAGCTCTCTGGTCACGGCGATGCATTCGGTCCATTTTTGGGTTTTGAGGTGACCCAAAAAGCCTCTAACGGCGAGCTGTTAGTTCGGGCTCGTGCGACAACGTGACTATTGTTGGAAATAAGTATGATAAATAAATACAAGTAAATATTATTATAAATATTAGGTTGGCACATAAGTAATGCAACCTTCTATATAACTTTTGTCTATTTGAACGTAGCGCATCCATTTTTTGGCAATATAAGGAATATGATGTAAGCTTCTAATGCACACATTTTTGCCGACTTTGCCATCTTATGTGAGGATTACGGTAGGTTTACGGTACTGTGGGAAAAATTTTAGAATGCATCAGATTTTGCTGAAACTTGGCCTATAGGGCTTATTTGACATGCTGATCACAAAAATGAGATCCGTTTCGCATGAAACGGCCTCGTTCGTGGGATCAAAAGATGAATTTCATTTTAGCGACAAATGAATATGATATTCGTCCTTACCGCATGGGATTACCCTATAATGCAAAGTTATAGCGAAATCTGACTTTTCGCAGCTTAGTTATTGACAAATTGCCTTGTAAACTTGACGCATTTGACTTGTTCAACTTCTCAAAGGCGCCCCATCTTAATTTGTGTTCAAATTTCATTTCTTTTTCACTGATTCCAATGTGCCAACTTCCAGCTACATGCTGCCTATAATTGCTTTTTCATATGTTTCAATCAGGTTTCGTAGAGCTTCATGTTTGCCAAAAAATCGTGAAACCTCGATTTTCAGCAGTTTTCAAAAAATGCTTAGATTTTTTGTACTACGTTATCAAATATCAAACGGTTTGCGCAGACTTGCAGCTTACATCACGATCTACATGATCCCACAAAATGAGATTGCTACATAAAATAGGAAAAAAGTTACGGGAAAAGTTGCAAAACTTATGTGCCAACCTAATAAATATAGTAATATAAATATGCTCGAGTCATTTGTAACTTAATATGCGTATTGCACATCATACGCCATATTTGACGAACTTATAAGATTGGAACCTGCTCGTTTCAGAGATTTCACCTTGTTTCTTTGCTTCTTTTAGTTTAATAGGATATTGGTTTGGTTAGTAGTATACAATTTTACGCTTTGTTACGTTAGAAAAGATTTTATCGAGAAGTTAATGTTAAGGGTGCCGTACGTTGAAAGGCTTTGTGTGCAGTCTCACATATTGAGTTACGAATGACTCGACGATAGATATTATTATAAATATAGTAAGTATAGTAAATATTCCTACTATAACAACGCGCTAAGGCCGTCTGTTTTTTTGTGTGTGTGTCTGTGTGAAAATCTGTCTGTCACGAAATTCACAGAGGAAGCTGCAACCAAGCTATCGGGCTGTAATTTTGCATAACATACCGTGCCAGCGTGTAGGCCCACCATGCACAAGGACGAGCCGGTTCGAAAAGCGGGTCCCTCAAAATTTACGCGCCAAAAGGGTCCACGCGCCTTTTGGCATGCAAAACTGGGTCGCTAATTAGACTTTTTGCAAAGTTACGATTTGCCTGACAATTAACTCTGAGCGCCATGAATTCCAGCCCAAAAAGTGCTCAAAAAGTTTGGTTTTTTGCGAAAAGAGCGTTGGTTTTTTGCGAAAAGAGCGCCAAAAAGTGATGAACGCGTGGGTAGTCGTTTGGCAAGGTTTTATTTGGAAAAACTGAAAAGATTTTCGTACTGAAATGTAGCCCAAGGTGAATATTATCCTTATACGATTATCAAACTAAAATAAATTTAGTAATCCTTTCAAATTCGCATTTGTTTCCTTGCAATAAAGCTTTTTTTCTCAAAATTACCGATCTTACATAGAGATGCTTCATGAATGAACAGTTGTTCACGATTCATTTGTAATGCTCAGCATCGCGTAGTGAGTTTCAAAGCCATTCTCATGCGAACATGAGAAAAGCATACGGATAGGGAGCCAGTGCGAACCTCCGCGAAGCGGAGGTGACGCACTGGTAGTAAATATAACTGCGTTACGTTGATCTAGATAGATCTTCCACCCAAATTAAAACATTATTCCACACTAGGAACACTCGAAATAACCTTCAAGCAATAGAATTAGGAGCCAGGGAAAGTCTCGTTTATAGCATTTTTCGCTCGCAAGTCAGTAAATATCACTTATCAGCAGACGAATCAAACTCAAAGCACTACTGTAACAACTGGAGATTCAGGTTACCGAACATGTTTATCATCCCAACAAAGTTTCTCTGTGACAGTATTGCGGTATGTCATAATCCCCGAAAAGTTGAACATCCACTTTTGTTGGGTGATATATACATGGTTCAATAGCCGAAATCTCGAATTAAAATCGAAATTCGCAGGAATTCGAGCTTGATTTGTCTGCATCTGCCACAATATTTGTTGAAACAGCTACTGGAAGTAAAAGATGCTATGAAGAAGATTTTAGATTGGTATAGTTTGCATAAAGCTATACATCCAAACCATAATGAAAGAATTAGGTATCGCTTATAACAACAAAAAAATAATATTTGATGCAAACGAAACTTATAACCTATGCAAAGAAAATGTATGTATTTATGTATTCCGATATATGGACGATTTATTAATCATACATAACAGCACAGAAACTGAAGTTCATAATACAATCATCAACGTATATGAAAACAAACTAGATTTAAATACTACACACGAGGATAAATTCAACTGTAATTATCTCGACTTAAAAATTACAATTGTTAATGACAAGATAGTGACCAAAATGTATAATAAGACAGATAGTTTTCATTTTCAAGTAAAAAAATATATACACATGACTTCTAATGTTTCCATCCATATCAAAAAAGCTATAGTTTACACAGAAACTTTAAGAATTGCACGTACTTGCACCTATTTTAATGATTTTGTTGAGAAAGTGTTACAACTGAGAAACATACTTATCTCTAATGGTTACGATGAAAACATAATTCTTTCAAATATTTTCAAATGTCTACATAAAAATAAGTTCATACTATATAAATATGAATTTCACAATTACAATAAAACTAAAGATCTGTTTCACATTCTACATCAAAAAAATACATTAGGATCAAAGTAATATCTAATGCCTTGAACCAGTATTTGTCAAAATACATAAATATTTCATCTCACTTTATATTTCTAACCAATAATCGTTCGCTCTTATTACCATAAGTGACTATTACATAAGAAACATAACGAACAGCCGACTTGATCATTGATTCCATTATAAATGAATCAATATTATGACAAAAAATTTACTTACAAAAATACACAAATATGTCTCACTTAATACTCAAAAGATTTCTATTGACGGCAGCTATTCAGACTATTATATTATTTATCTATACACAATATACGATAAGATCATCAATATGTAAGTTAAATTTGATCGTTTAAGTTTAACATTTAGCAAAAATTTTGAAATATAATAGAACAGGTTCATGGGCTCTCCTTCCCTACTGAGGAGTTCCGGAGAGAGCCCGGAGTTCCTGTACTCCGTCTAAGGGCAGGAACGAAACGGAGTTAAAACTTACATACAAAATTTACATATAAAATGGTTTCTAGTTTATAAGTAACACACTTTGTGTATAACCATCTCTATTTTTATCACTATTGGTATTATTTCCTTGCAACTGTGTATAAACTCTTCATGAAGTATGTGTATAGAAGCTTTTATGTCTGCGTCGAACAGGGTACACCTAGTCAAATGGTCATGACATTCCTGTGCTTCCAGAATGCGCTCAGCCTCTACACAACCCACAACAGTGACAAGATCGCTTTCGGCACGCAGTCTTACTGCAAGAACAGATGTAGGTTTGACCTAAGCTCAATTCAAAGACATTGGTAAGGCGCGCAAGCAGTTAAACTTCGTGAAATTGAGAGAGTGTTTATGCATCTTCAACGCTTATTTGCGCTAAGTCCGTAAGAGTTTTTTGTAAACGAAAAAAATAACAATGACCGATAGCTTATGCAAGCCTGCGGGAGATTCGAAGGTACATAGCAAGAATTCTCATGATATTAGATTACCTAGATGAACAGTTTTTATGAGCAGTGTGTTTTTGCAATCGTTGAAATCAAACAAAAACGAATCACTTGCACAGTTCGCTAAAGTCGCTGAAAAGAGTATGAATCAGTGGAGTTTTGTCAGAAATTAGTTGCTTCCATTTCTTTTGAGATGAACCGGGGTATTGAATGGTTTGCTTTTTCGTAATTGTAAAAATATTGAATTTAGCTACTGGAAATGCCCTTCCACGATACAAGGTATGCGCTTGCATAGCCCTAAAACAGCGGTTGAGAAGATGCTTTAGAGCTACCAGTGTCAACACAGCGCGAAGTTACTACATCAGTACGGCTGAGGATAATACGTCAAGATATCCCACCGCTGCATCGACATCATATTTAACCAATGACAGCTTACACTCAAGGTACGGCTTTTCAAATACCAGCAGCTTCTGCTTCTTGAATGTGTCTATTTCAAGTAAACCACATTTTCGCACTGCTCGAGATAACTCGGCTTTTTCTGACACATCAGCAGGCTCGACAGGATCCACAGCAGTGTCACCTATGGTCGATGCAGATTGTAAGTACAGGAAGTTGAGCTTCCAAGATCGCCTTTGAAAGAAAATGCAGTCGCAAATAATTCAATCATAGATGCTTTAAGGAAGTGGCCTGGCAAAACCGAACATCGCAGGGCCTCATGGCGGTCTTCATGTGTTATACGCTTTCTAGTCAGCAACCTCGAAAACCTCGGTAACCTGCGGCCAATCCTAAAGCACTCAGACAGTCGAAGGGATACCTCCGGCGGGCAATAGGGCGAGTCTGCCTCTTCGCGGTCTGGAGCGCTCCGGAGTCCTCCATTTCACCCATTTTGGTGCTCCGGGCTCTCCCAAGTCTGGCGCACCTCCGGAGCAGAGATTTGCGCGTCCCGGAGAGGGGTCCCATTCGTCCGCTTGTGACGTCACGGTGAACGAATGGGACTCCTCTCCGGGACGCGCAGATCTCTGCTCCGGAGGTGCGCCAAATCTGGGAGAGCCCGGAGCACCAAAATGGGTGAAATGGAGGACTCCGGAGCGCTCCAGACCCGAGGTGGCAGACTCGCGCCATTCGCCCACCGGAGGTATCCCTTCGACTATCTGAGCAAGTCCGAACGGCATGCTACCCCTATCGAAAACACTGCCCACCCGTGCGCATAAACCATCAAAATGGTCATAATGGTTCCACAACGACTCCGCGTCTCCAGTTTTGGTGGAGCTGTTTCGCTTGTCCAAATTCTTGTCCAAATCAAGGGCCTTGGGAAGTGCTGGTTTTCGCAACTTTTGCGTATCTAGTGTATTTGGGATCAGAGCTTGGATTCAAGCAGAATATTAGGTTGAGGGTTTGCCAAGTCGCTGCTTTCAAGAGAGTTCTGCCTTTGGCGTAAGCACTGTTATGACTAAATTCACACTTTTTTTCGAACGAGATTTCGGAAGGGAAACTAGAGTACGCAAATGGAGCAGTGGCGGACCGAGGGGGGGGGCCTCCCGCCCCGAGAATGAGTCGCGAAATTTTTGAAACTTACCTATATGGGTTATAGAAATGTGCAAACGACTTGTTTATTTTTGTAAATAATTAAAATATTTTTTAAAATTTTTTAAAAAATAAGATTAGGCTTACAAAAAAAATTTTTTTCGGGGGCGTGGCTGACGCCACGCCCCTTTTTTCTAGATTTTAGGAGTTGGGAACCCGCAAAAATTTTGAGAAGCACCCCAAAAATTTTTTCGGAGTGCGTAGCAAATGCCACGCACCTTCATCTAAAAAAAAATTTTGTCGCCCCCCCCCCCCCGGTCCGAAATCCTGCGACCGCTCCTGAAATGGAGTCATGTGAACCTGCATGTATAAGCGGATACTGATCAAATTATTATCTTTTGTTCTTTTAGCACCCATATTGACTATGTCAATGTGATGAAAATGCTTAGCTGATCTCAAAAGCTCAAAAGTCTAAACCGGATGCACCGTAATTGGGTGAACAGCCGGATGCTCTCTGTTACCAACACTTTTACGCTGTGGAGTAAAAAAACATATATTAGGTCTTCCGAAAGTAATGTCGCTTTTTTCAAATAAACGCCACATTTCAAGGAACCAAGATTTTCAAGAGCCTTTGTGATCAACCGATGCAGCATTTCATCCCCTTTCTAGTGGTTGTAATTTCATTGCATAATATTCAGTGAGCTCTCAAAAAATTACCAAAACCTGCGACCCATGCTTTTTGCCATGGTCAAGTTCGGCTATTTTTCTAAATTTTTGTACCTATTCTCCGAAGAAGTACAAGTGACTGGTAGATAAAGCAAACCCTATAGGACAGAGGATAATTTTTTCCTTTTCCTTGGCTTGGTTCTTAATGTTTCGGAATCAATGTTTCAATGCTATCAAATTTCATATTTGGTCAACTCAAACCTCACAGAACAAAACCGGCAAGCAACTCGGGTGTCATTCGACGCAGCTTTTTCTCCTCTTTCTACCAGTTGTTTTTTGTTTCTGATTCATTGAGTTTTCCGGGACAAAATCATCATAATTCAGGTTTTCCAGGGCGCCACAGGTTGTACCCGGAATTTTCGAAAGTTGCTAATCTGAAGCGGCGGATGCTCATTTGGTTTGTAAAATGTGTCAAACCATAATCCATCTTTGTAAATTTCAAAATCCGAAGATTTATGCTAAAATTCGGTGGTTCCATCAAAAAATCTATACAAAAATTATGGCGCTCTGAAAAGTGGGAAAAAGTTGTGCTGTTTCCTATAGGGTTTGCTCTATCCATCCATTACTTGGGCTCCCGCCGAGGATTGTTATAAATATTTAGAAAAATTGTGAAACTTGTCCTTCTCAAAAGGCATGAGTCGCAGATTTTGATAATTTTTCGGGAGGTTATTGAATTTTGCGCCATGTTGATATAACCATTAAAAAGAGAATGAAATGCTGCATCGAATGCTACCAGAATCTCTTACACATGTTTGTTCTACGAAACGTTACGTACGTTAAAAAAGCGACATTACTTCCGGAACGACCTAATAGAACACATAGCTCAACTTGAAGGCAGCGTCCCGTCAAGATGATGAGTAATGGAATTTTACGGTTTGCAATAGCTACGTATTTTGCAGCAAATGAAGACATTTAAAGCCCCGAAAAAAGCTTATTTTTGCCATCATCATGCGCTGCAAAGCCCGATAATTGTCAACATGGCGAGAAGGCTCGGAAAACGTGAGAAAGGAAAAGAGAAATTTTGCCTGGATACTGCCTTCAAGCAATAGCTCCTGCGAGTTTGCGCGGCCTCCTCGCCTGGACCTTGTGACGCGTTTGAAGTCGTGTCGTCTAAGCATTTTACCGTCCTCAACTTTCCCTTCTCATTATTATTAACCAGTGCGTCACCTCTGCTTCGTAGAGGCTCGCACTGGCCCTACTTTCTGTATGCTTTACTCATTCCTGCACAAAAGTGACAATAAAACTCACCGCGCTTTGCCGACTATCACGAATGATTTGTAAACAACTATTCATTCTAAGACCTTTTCCATATGAGATAGGTAATTTCGCGTGAATGAAACTTCTCCCAAAGGAACAAATGCTGATTTGAATAGGTTTTTGAAGTTTTTATGGCTTGGCATTTGCCATAAGATACAATGTCACCGTGGGCTACATCTGTGTGCAAAAATCTTTTCAAGTAATCGGGTAAAACCTTGGCAAAGTGAACACTTATGCAACCAAATCTTTTTGGCGCCGTTTTTGCAAAAAACTTTAGTTAGTGGTGATATGGACCCAATCACCAAAAGTTAATAAACTTTAGTTCTTTGAGCTAAAGTCCATCGTTTGCACATTAACTTGTCAAACAATCCGTGACCTTGCAAAAAGTTGTGCTATAGGCTCAATTTTACTGACCAAAAGCCAAGTGGATCCGATTAACGCGCATTTTTAAGGGGTCCACACAACGGATCCGCTCATGCTTTTGTACAGTGGACTCTTATGTAAGCAGCATGCTCTGTGCAAAATTTGGGCTCAAGAAATTCATTGGAACCGCTCCTTGAATTTCGTGACAGACAGAGATTCAGACATACACACACACATACAAACGTAAACATCCATTAGCCCGTTATTATAAGTTATCAAGACCTTATAATAACGGGCTAAGGGTTGTTTACGTGTTTTTGTGTGTGTGTGTGTGTGTGTCCGTCTGTTACGAAATTCGTAGAGAGTGTTCCAGCCAGCGTTTTAAGCCCAAATTTTGCATAGCGCATGCTACCTTCATGAAAGTTCAACGTGCAAAAGCACGAATAGATTCGTTGAATGGGTCCCTCAGAAATTGCGCGCCAAACGGATCCACCTGGCTTCTGTCCCGCAAAATTGGGTCCATATCACCACTTTTTGCAAAGTCCTGGATGTGTTTGGTAAGCAAATGTGCAAGCGATGGACTTTAGCCCAAAAAGTGGTCAAAAGTTTGCTACATAACGAAAACGGCGCCAGAAAGAGTTGGTTGCGTAAATGGTTAATTTGCTAAGGTTCTAGCTAAGCGTTTCAAAAGATTTTCGCACGGAGATGTAGCTCACGGTTACTATTGCCTTTAAGGGGACTACCAAGCCATGACAACTTCAAAAACCTATTCAAATTTGCGTTTGTCTTCCTACGAAAAGTTTCATCCACGCGAAATCACCGATATCACGTGAAAAAACTTTCTGAATGAGTAGCTGTTTACATTTAATTCGTGGTAGTCGGCATAGTGCGGTAAGTTCCATTGCCACGATTTTACGAGAATGATTAAGGCACATAGATAGTAGAGCCAGTGCGAGCCTCTGCGAAGCAGAGGTGACGCACTGGTGATAAAGATAATGAAAGTATTATAGGCCGTATCAGCCGGCATCGGTCTCGCGTTAGTATGCATTGCGAAATCGCACCGCCGCATGCGACGTGCCTTAGGGCGTAGCAGAGTTCGCACGCGTCACATCGCACCGTCGCAAGTTGCCGCAGGCGCGACGTTGCATGACCGATGCTGGTTGGTACAGCTATTATATTCAGTTGCGACAGCTAAAAATCAGACGTATCGGGGACGTTCACCGACGCTACGTGTAACAACCAACAGTCAAACTATGTAAGCTGTAGCAGTTTCGCAGTCGTGTGTTCATTATATGTATGCAGGACTCCGCGTCAGGCTTGGTCACATGTGCCAATAGGAAGCTATTCTGTAATCCGCCCTATGGGTTACCGGTATGTACGGAAATTATAAGATTGAAAAGAGTGGCTCTTGTTTGCAGGAATTCAGAAAATGTCCCACCTTTTGCCAAAAACGATCAAGAAGGAAGGTATGGAGTGTTAATGAAAGATCCTTGTACACATTATTGTCACTGTTCAGGGCGTCAGCGTCTACTGGTCTATCGCCGTTTCCAACCGAATCATTTGGTTTGTCCACATTGTACTCAACAGTAAGAGATTCGTCCACCAAAGTACCGAATATGAACTATACTCTGGAAAACTTATAGACAGCATCTGACATCAAACAAGCAGAAAGAGACGCTCGCAAAGTCATACATGAGGAGACATGTGGAGGACGGAGTGGTTCCCCACACTATGCTCATCTCCTTCTAGAAGAAAATTTGCGAACTACCGCAATCCCTGTAAACGCAGGTCATATTTCGTTGGATTGATAGATACACATCATCTGTGTGCCGCATTCATCCAGTACACCTGCACTCATCCAAAGCACTGCAAAATTTCTTGTTTCTGTTTTTTGAGTAAGCAGTTCAATGCTAATATCGGAACAGATATGCTTATTTGCTGTCTTTGAATCTGATATTATTGAAGATCTGCTTAGCGGGAATCAGATAATAAAAGTAAAACAAGCTATGGTCAATTGCTCCCAGACTAACATCACAGTCGTTCAGTAGTTGAGAATTGAGCTCTATTAGTGCAAATTTAGCACTGCCGCATTCACCAAGCACACCCATCCCTGTCGATGTTACGGAAGCTTTGATGACTGTTCTACATGAGACTGGTGGAGGTCAAATTGGATCCCCACATTACGCCCATGTGATCTTAAGTGAACCGGACACAATGACTGCACTACTCTCGTTGCGCACAGGTCAGCCGAATTTTGGCGAGTTTTTGAAAGATTTTTTTTTCAAAGAAACGTAAGAACGATTCATCATCAATCAGTTCAGAAAGTCGAGATTTTTCCTGTCCATAATAGCCCTGAAAGTTTGCAAGTTACAATTTTTTATATCAAGAAGTTAAATTAGCGATCAGAGACTGTATTTTGTTATACTATCAGTTTGTCTCTCCATTTTCTTCTTTTCATGATCAGATCAACTTTTCTTCGCAAAATTTCGGTTTACCGTGAAATTAAAATTGCAAGCATTGGCTGTTTTGCTTTTGAGAACCAGTGGGGCTTTTGTGCTTTCAAGGGCAGTGGCTCGGCAAACCACCATCTCAAAGTTTTGATACTGAAGGTTGCTTGCGCCCAAACTTAAGAAAGGAGCAGATCCGAGCGCACAGCATGCTGCTTCTGCCTAAAAAATTGCCCCTAAACCCGTGTGCGCAAGCCATCCTTACACGCGCTCGGACGAGCTTGCGTTCCCCTTCCACCGTCAGGCGGCATGCCGCAATGGGCGGGCAAGCGTTAGGCGACAAAACGTGCAAAACGCCATTAACGTAAAGCCCGTAAGTCAAAACCATGTGCAATTTTTTTGATGGCGTCGAGTAATGTATCGGCCCCGACCCCCACCCCCCTGTTTTTGGCGAAGGAAATGTTTTGCACGGGGAGTTATTAGGTTGTCCGGAATTTAATGCAGGTTTTACACATTCTCACTTCAAAGCGTCATAACTCCTTTGAAATTGCATATTTTTGAATGAGGTAAGAACTGCTGTGATCAGCAAGTCTTTTTACATTTGACCCATTTTCTTTTGTAACTGTAGCTCCAACAAGCAAATTACTGAAAGCCAGAAAGTAAAAAGAAATTTTTTGACAAGGTCATACTTGGCAAGTTGTGAACTCCTACCGAATATGAGTGTTCAGCCAGAAACTTCTGTAGCTTATAGCCACGGACCAGTACTACATTTATAGCTATGCAGAAGATTTTTTAAAAATTTCTGCGAAAGAAAAATTTGCGGGGTCAAAATTTTCCATTTTTTCGGTATTTCCCGCACGGCTGCGATCTCCGATAATTTTGATTTTTTTATTGACTCATCAAAAATAAAGCCTGGGAGGTATCAGTTGAGATAATATCTGACGGCGCTGGCCTCACTTCTCAGGCACGAGGAGAGATTTTCACGGTTACTTTCTTTAGAAAAGTTTTCTACGCCATGGAGTGGCCGCGACAATTATTCATGTTAAAGCTTCAGTTTCTCTACTATCACAACCGTTCAAAAGAAGCGCTACTATCCATTTTGTAGGTTCACTCAATATCTTGCTTCAGCTATATTATCATGGAAATACCCCTCTTGCCGAATAAGCTGAAGCCAAAATAGTGCAAAGGGTAAATTTAGTGATTTAGAGCTTCATCTTCGGATGGTTGTAGATTTTGAACAAACGAAGTTGATCGTAGAAGTAGTATATATAAGAGAGAGCAGGAAGAGCGTCTTCTTTTGTTATGTGAAATTGGTCGAAAGATGCACATACACAAAAGAACGGTCCTTTTGAAATTGCATTTGCAGAAACCTGCATTGATTTCCGGACAACCTAATATTTGGGGTCCAAAAATCGGGTTTGTCGCCTAACGCTCTACACCAGCCGCAATGCTATAAACATGAAGGTCCCGCAGCGGCTCTACTTCTCTAACCGTAGCGGGGAGTGTCCCACTCGTTCAAATACAAAATTAGGGACCTAGGAAAATGCTATTTTTCGCCATTTTCGTGCTCTTCCTTCAAAGCGTATTATAGGAATCAGCGCGTCGAATTACCCCAGGTAAGCAAAAAAAACTCCAGGTCGAGGACTTGCCGAGTCAGGGCTTTCAATACATTATTCACACCATCACATCATTTGAAGCATCTTCGTCATCGAAGAGTTATAAAAGTCACAATTAGAAATAAAAGAGACATTTTTTAATTAGCGCAACATGTTGTCAAAAAATTCTTCAAGATGGCTTATCCAGCGTGAATCTCCGGAAGCCCCGGACAGGGGTGGCGGTCAAGATGAACGATAGCATGTGCCAGCCGCCAGCTGGGTACCGTACGCGGTGCGCTGATCGCTCCGCCCCCTTGTTAATCAGCCCAGGATTGCTTTGTAGCTATTGGAAATCTCTCTAAATACTTCGTTCATGTTTCTTCGGTTGGTTGCAATTTGGATAACAGTATATTTCAAATTTCAGTTATGTTGAAAATCAATTTTCAGAACATTGTAAAATTAGTTCGCAAGCTCTTTTTAACGTATTTCAATTATTTTTCCTAGTAGGCTTGTCCAAAACGATTTCATTGCAGGTAAGAGGAAATTGTTTCGAAAATGCTTGGAAAAGTGATTTCTCTATTCGCATCTGTTACCATGTTGAATATGCTTTGTTGTGCACTCTCAAGTTTACTTCAAAAAGAAGTCAACTTATCGAGAAATACTATTATTATTGCTGAAATGACCCAACCATTATCTCTTTTATCGTAAAAGTAAGTTTTGAAACCCTAATCATAGCTAAAAACAGATTTCATTGCGACGAGAATTCAAAACAAGCGTTCATTGATGCCAAAAATAAAAGAAACAAAAAATCAAAACAAGATTCTGTAAATAGTCAAGCTTCACCTCAGATTGTAGCAAGCTTATATCTTGCACTCAAAAGTTATTTTTACTTGACGGTGTCGTTCCAGAAACTCGTTCGCCGCAGTAGGGCGGAGCTTCGAGCGAACACGTTATTGCCAGTTCATGACCCCGCGCGCCACTGGTACCAGCTATCGTTCATCTTGACAAATACCCCCCCCCCCCCCGGACAGACTTAATGCGATTTGATCGTCGCGACTGAATCGCGACGAGACAACTGTTACAACATCATTCCATGCCGATCAACTTGCATTTCGGTTGTGATACTTTTCCAGCCCGAAATTTTTGAATGTGAAACGAAAATGAATGGAAAAGTTGGCGATTGAGTCGCGACGATCAAATCGCGTGAAGTCTGTCCGGGGCCGAATGCTGTATTTTTTGTTTAGAACAATTCGACTTCACAGCTTGATCGCGCGCATCTCACGCTTCAACGCTGTTTCTACGTCAAGGCTCTCCGCTGAGGTGATTGCTCGTACCTCAACATGACCGCGAAGTACCATCAAGTTCGCTGAGTTCTTATAACGCCAAGTTGTTCCAGAAATTTCCCTTAGCAACATGTTGTTATTTTTCTTTCATTTGGACTTGGGGTAATATTCAATGGAATAAAGTAAGCTATATAAGATGATTTGAAACATTTGCATGAAGCTGCATGAAGCGAAGTGCACAGAACAAATGAAGTTTCTAGAATACTTGATTACGTTGATCACCCCCCCCCCCCAAAAATCTAATTTCCCATCTGCCTGAAGGCTCCGTCCGCCCTCAGTTAGAATTCATGAGCTTTTGGCAGCATACGATAGTAGGGCCCGCATTCAAGCCGGTGTTCAAGTGTGGCGGAAGATGTCGCGGAAGCGAGCAAATCGCTCCGAAACAAGGAAGGGCCCCCGCGAACGTATTCGCACGGATTCGCAGTTTCGCGCCAGGATCCACGCTTTGCGCCATGAATCCATGCGAAACACGGTCGCGGGGTCCAGTTTCGAGGGGAATATCTCAGGCGTTAGGGCACTACCTGAGCTGCCGGTTGGGCAGTGGCTTAGTTAGGGCCCCAAAAGTACTTTCCACGTAAAATCCCCATAGGTCCAGACTTGCCTGGACGCTGCCTTTAACCCATCAGTTGAACTTAGGCGAGGTGAATTGATAAACGCCCACCTTCCCATGTTATATGCGAGGCGAGTGGACTGACAGTTAACCATCCGTCCACCTGCTGCAGTCAACTCTTGCACATCATTTCACGTTCAGTTGAACTGAACGGATGCAAATAGTGTGTAAAAGAGGAGACGCAGACAAGACTCCCGCTCAAATAATCGCCGGGGGCAAGCGGCCATGCGAATTTTGAGCAAGCGGGCACCGGAAAAATAGTTCGCTGATTTTTTGTGGTCCGCTTGCAGAAATTTGGAATAATTTTGGCCAATTTTTAGACGAACGCTCGAAGATCTATCGCGGTTTTTCTATACATAAGTTGCGGCACAGTGGCCGCATTCTCGCGGATTTTCCGCGAGAACATGCAAAATTATTGAGAGCCGCACGGTCCTTTTTGAAGGACCGCACAGCCCTCAGGTACTTTCTGCTGAGAGAAAGTACCCCAAACTTGGGTAATAAAACCATCGATGGCACCTCTGCCACATAGAGTCTCATCTTTTCTCGGCGTACGCCCGAAACTGCGTAA